CATTAATTTTATTTCATACATAAACATAACTGTACAGAAAAAAATGCAGTTATCTTTTTAATTAATTAAAAATTTTAAAAGTCCATTTCCATTCTCTAAAACTAAATAAATCAGTTCTTAATTCTACGGGAAATTAAAAACTTAGGGACAAGACACGATAAAAAGATTTTTTCACAAAATTTATGTCAACTAATTCATACCCGAATTTCCATATTCATTGATATCGTTATTTTTTTAATGAATTCCTGATGAACTGAAATATTATAAGCCGAATAATATCGCAGAGTAAGTTAAAGATTATTTGTGCGGACGAATTTCAAAAAGAAATTTATTAAAACAAAAAAAGCGAGCAAGTACAATTCTATGCTAACAATGCCAACTTTATAAAGTGGACTGAAACTTGAAATTAGTTTCCTGGCTCCAATTTCGCCCTCACGTTCAGATTCTTGATACAAAACGTAAGAAATTCAATAACTTACTAGCTTACAATGAACATAGGAAATCACCGTGCCTAAATTGATATTTCGCAAATTTACACGTGTAAGGAATTAATTTTTCAATTGCCATTTCATTTTAAACGTAAAAATATTAATAGAAATATGGAGTGCGTTTACGTCGGTACGTCGATAAAGTTGGCAGTGATTTCTATGTTTTGATATAAAATTTTCCATATTATATGTAATGACCATAACCAAAATTAAAAGTAAACGTTGAAATTAGTCAGTTATTATTATTATTACTAAGACATACAAAAATTTTGTTTTGAAACTATAGTTATTTTATTTTTGCTTCACTATACTCTCATTAAATTATATGATAATTGAATATATTTAATATCAATTAGGCACAGAAAGCTTCAGGAGTCCAATATACTTTTTGTACGTTCGTCATTGTATTATTACTGATGGTTCAGGAAATCGCGTAGAAAAACATTTCTCGTGTACCTTACACAGGGCAAGCTCAACGGAGAGGGTGGGAGAGACTCCAAATACCTTATTCGATGGCCTAGGGTCCAACCAAAAGCCCAAAGATTGACACTTCGCATAAAACCCTTGTCTGAAGCTACTTCGATTAAATCGAAAGTTAGGTCAGAAATGACCTGATTGCTATGCTATGCTTGCAAAAGAAAACGAGGAACTCAAATAGTGGTATTCAAGCCTGGCGAAGGCGACACGGTTAGGCAAAACAAAAAAGTTCGCTCAATGCAAATATAGTACGCCTGAGATTGGAACGCATTTGTAAGCCCTCGGGTGTTGCAGGTGTTCATGGGCGGCGGTAATCACTTACCATCAGGTGAGCCTCCTGTTCGTTTGCCCATTTTCTCCATAAAAAAAAAAATAGATTGGGTATATGGAATTTGGCTTCTATGACTGAATGCAATACAGAACTAAGTAATATTCTCTATTATAGAGGCATGAACATGCGTGTACTACAAATGGAACGGTACTAAATGCCAAATTTGGGCCGCGGTTACGAACTTTAATTATCATGGAGCTGATATGAAACGGACCTAAGACATACTTTAGCTTAGTCCAGTAAGAGTGATTCACATTTTTGACTCTTACACACTTTGTACACTAAGTAAATGTCGAAACAAAACCGTGTTGCACGTTAAAAGGCAGCCATAAATCTGATGAATAAGGAAAAAAGGGAGAAAGCAATTTCCATTCAACGTTATCGCATAAATTGCATTCCCGCTATGAGAGAATCTTGTGATCATACATACGAGTATTCAATAACAATATCGAACATACTCAGAGGTACCTTCCATTTCCGCCTTTTTGTAATTTATTTAATACGTTTTCTTTTTAGGGTTCCGTACCCAAAGGGTAAACTTGAACCGTCCGTCACCATGCTGTATCTCATGAACAGTGATAGGTAGACAGTTAAAATTTTCACCGTTGATGTATTCCTGTTCTCGCTATAATAAAAATACTAAAAAAAAATATTTAAGAGAGGCTCCCATACAACGGGCATATAGATAATGGTACGGAACCTTTCGTCTGCGACTCCAACTCGCACAAGGCCGGTTTTTTTTTTCATCTGGAAAGGTTATGGCTATGCCTATACTTTTTTGTGGCAGCCAGCATCAGGTCGTATTTATGTATTCACTTTTTTTCAAGCAGTGCACATCTCTACGTGGACAGCTAGGAAGTACAACAATAGTTAATTCATTTTATAGATCTTTAGTATATATTAATGAATTAATCTTGTTGGACATTGGATGGACCACTGAAAACATATTGTGTGATGAACATAGTGTTGTTCCACTTTCTTGTTTATACATATATTTATTATATCTTATCCTTTAAACGAGCAATTCTTGTATACATAATCGGAATCTCGGAAACGGCTCCAACGATTTTCATGAAATTTAGTATGTGCGTAGATTCGGGGGCGAAAATTCAATCTAGCTAGGTTTCATTTTTAGAAAATGTTCTTTTATCCCTGTTTTCAGGGAATGGAAAATATCATTCAAATGTGACGGTAAATTGCGCAGCGAAAAAAAAATTTTATAATACCTCGGTCGGTAATCGGGCGGCCCCAAAACAGACGGCCGCGGTTCGTATCACGATCATTTACACACTTATTTTTTTTACTTTTTTTTCTATACCAGATCATTTTCTTTATTTATTTTTCCCAAAATACATGATTTACCAAAAAAGAAACCGAGCAAAGCTCGGTCCTATAGGTACTATAGAAATAAAATAAACATACTTAAACATAATTTTCTAAATAAATACGTATATTGATCATTACAGACTCAAACAATAGAAAAAACACTATACTTCTATACGTGGAGATCGAACTCACGTACTATGGCGAGAGACAGGTTCATTATCCACTATGCCAATTAGGTCATCACTTCAAAAGGATGAAAAGCTTTATATAGATGAAGAGGAAAGGAAAAAAAAAATAAAAAAAGAGAAAAGGAACTCCTGGAAAAGAAGGCGAATGTTCGCTTTGATGTTGCAATATCGCATCTTGTAAACGGTTTAATGGGTTCGATGTCGCAAAATATGGAGCATATTTTTATTTATTTGAAAACGCTCTGCTAAAAGCAAAACATATGACGACCCGAGTGCTGCGTTTCTAGTGTCCACAGTACAAGCGTTGCTTAGTTTAATGTTAACTTGTTTACATTGAAAACTATTAATAGTATAGTAGATCGCCAGTACCTTCACTTTGACCGTGTATCTGGTATCAATTCCATTACGAAATCAAAGCTGCATCAACGTCGAATGTTATACTACAAAATGCTTACCAGAAGTTATACTACAAAATGCTTACCAGAAGTTTTTAATGTAATGAGTAACAAGCGACCGAACATCCGACGAGTGCTGCTTCATCATGACAACGCGACACTCAGAACTCAAATTCAGGGACTTCCTGGACACAACACCCGTCAAAGTCTTGGGTGACCTTACCTCAAATATCAACATGTGTCACCTCCTTATAGTCCTGTTCTGGTACCATGTGACTTCTTTTTATTCTCTAAAATAAAAAATACAACTGAAAGGGATACAGTTTTCTTCACCGGAAGAAGGAAGAAGAAGAATCGCTAGCAGAGTTTGAGGACGCCGTAGAAGAGGTGTTTGCGGCGCGCTGGACAAAGTGCTTCGAAAATTGGTTCAGACGCATGAAACTTTGTATAGAGGCACGTGGAGAGTTCTTTGAAAAGAAGTAATGAAAATATTTTATCCATATCAGTTATTTTTTTGGTTTCACAAAACTTTCTGAGTGTCTCACGTAGAAATCGGCATAGAGTACCGTAACCGATCCAACGGAGCAAGTATGTTACGAGTATATAGAAGACGCTAAGTCTGGACTGCGAATAAATCTCTACCTAGCTTTTGCTTACCCTTTCGAGTAAGCCATAGGTATGTATGTCATCTAACTGCATAGATGAAGCTCCTCTAACGATCCAGTTTGCAAGAATCAGCCGAGCCAAAACCTGCATTTTGCCCAGTGCTCTCAAAATAACGAGCAATTAGTTGTTCTAATGAACGTGACTTCTATTTCGGCTTTGAAATAAAACTGCGAATGTTTGGGGAACTCTGCGTAAATGAAATGAGCAGAGCATAACTGCTATATTTATTTATAGAAAAAAACCGAATTCGTTGAAACGGAGATAGAGAAAAAGATCGTTAATTTTATCGTAGAAGTCCATAATTTAAGAAACATGACGTTGACTCAAAAACCGGGAAATATGTTCGCAGATCATTAGGGCATATTCCACCACACGACTCAATTGTGGATTGGCAGAGTTCACATATCATAGGAATATTGTTGTTGTTTATTATATCGAAAATATGCTAAATCACTACAAACAACTTTATATTTTTTTACATTCGATTTTTACTATCAACACTGTAACAGCTCGATTAATAACTTGATTACTTTGCCACTGTTTAACAACGGGTACACGCTATAACGCGATAATATAGCCTCTAACGGGGCACCATCCGTCAATAACCTCCGCATTCAGCGCGGCCTATGCACTATACCCTCTTGTGCCTGGCCGCTGTATCACTTATGTGGTGTTATGATCACTAAGCGATACATGCTTTCGTCCCCTATTTGCGTTATTATTTGTAAAACTTATTGTTTTTGAAGAATCTAATGTTTCTGCGCATTGGACATTTTTGTTCGCATTCTTAACTTGACTTCTTAACATTGTTCACACTGTGTTAGCAAACACTCTTCTTACCAATTTAATTGGTTATATTCGTAGTTAAATATCGTAAGTGATAGTTCGCCTTCGTCACATCACCTGTGCGTTTGAATAGCAATCTCAACCTTGTTCCTTGCTCTGGATAGGTTCACTAACGATTGCGATCTACGCTGATTTTCAAACCATTCGAGGGGGCTCGGATCTTTTTCCTCCATCCCTGCTAGTACAAGATAAGCAGCAGGGCAGACGGCACTATCATCGCCATGTTTTCAATGGGCCGGAACACGTGGAAACGAGTATAGAATCTGTATTGACTGTGTGAAGAATGAATGATATGTCTATGAAAGGGGTGAGTATTGAGATGACGGCTGATAGAGGAATAGTGTGGGATAAGGGCAAGAGAAAGAAAGAAGAAGCAATCAGGGTAATCTCTTCTTTCTATTCCACACCTTTGAAAGATTGATATTGTAAACGTGCGTTTACTTCGTAATGCGAATGCACCCGATATCTTCACGTTACAAAAATCGCGGCAGTTATGTACTTATTTTGTATTTTTATCAGTTTTTGGCTTCATCTAGTGAGCATATTTAAAAATTGCTTAGTTTATCAAAAAATAAAATAACGATGATTATTTAAGGGATTTTACTTGGTGCCTTTACTATTTTTTATGATTTAAAAAAGGAAATAGACGTCGAGATTTTCATGCTGTAAGATAAAAATTATGTTTTAATATTTTTAGAATGTGTACGTTGAATTTACTCTTATACCTTTTTTGTTGAGGTTACCCACCAAAAGACTATAAAAAAATCAAACATGCACTCCCCAAAGGCTGTCACCCATTTTTTTGTTAATTTCTTTTGCTTGCCAACCAAACGATAGTATAACGGTAATGTAAGTTTTAACGATATGAAAGATTGTGATAATAGGAAATGTTACACCTATTTAATATTACTCGAGCCCCCTTAATTTCTATTCCATTACGACTGCAAAACAATCCTGTCTACTTAATTTCACGGTACCTTAAGCGTTTGTAATGAAAATAATCCAAAGGATATTATAGCAAATAGAACAGCAATGCTTTTATACACAGGGGTCAACGATTCGGAAATTCCTGATAGCTTTTTTTTATTTGTGCAATTCAGAAGTAGTTAATTAGTTCGAAGCTGTAATAGCCAAGTATACAAAGTTACTCTATGGTGATAGCTCGTTGTCTGGGTGCTCGCTAATTCCATACACTCTTTAAGTGAACAAACCTGCGTAATTTCTAAATAACAACAAAAATAATAATAACAAATGAGGGTATAAAGGCATAGCCCACCATGCGACCCCACGGGGATTTGTGGACTTCACATATTATCTTTGAAACAGTTTGTAAACATAGGTAATATTTAGCAATAAATTAAAAACAACCATGTTCTTATTTCGATATGCCTATAGAAGTCTTTGATCGGTGACATTTTATTTCATTCAATTAAAATTACGCAAATAACTTTTTATGGTTGGTTGAAGCTCGTAATTGCTTTTAATCCTGCGAAAATTTCAAACAGTTATTTTATAGTATGGGTGTTAAAATTTTTGCATGTATTGCATGAGCTATGAAGTTTGGCAGTTATGCGATGTACAATTACAGCAGTTACTGTTTTTATTAATTTACTTTTTGTAAAGAGCGGTATTTCAACACTAAATTGCCGGGTACGTATTAGTAGAAGGGGTTATTACGTTATTCCTCTAGGTATATATGTATAGTATCGATATACAATAAAGTGTAATATTTACCGTATACTGTTTTAACTACGCTACCTATTATCTCCTTTTTCTCTTTAACATAGAAAAATACCTCGAAAACGGTACCAAAATGCTTTGTGAATTTCAATTGGCAAATTCGGAATTTCAGAAACGGTTACCTATCATACATATTATAACAAAATAGAAATTATATGATACTACAAGTTAATAAAAAACTACCCCTAAATTAAAACCCTACCCTACCCCCAATTTAAAACTGACTTCTTTAATTGAATACGTGGTATTTTCTTTCTTTGTATTTAACCGACTTTAAAAAAGGCGGAGAATGTCAATTCAGCTGTATGTTTTAGCTACTCGCTACCTTAGAACTCTTTCATTTATGGACTAATTTTGATAAATTATTTTTGCATTGGGTTCTGTTTAGCTTCCGATGTGGTCAAATATTAATTTGTATTGAAACTTGGATCCCGAAATTCCCTGAAAACAAAGAGAAGAAATGTATAGTTTGTGAGATATTTGAAGTCCGTTTTTTTTAAGGGTATCGTATTTCCGTATACAAAAGGGACGAAGGGAAAATACGGGAACCTATTACTAAGACTTCGCTGTCTGTCTGTATGTCTGTCAGTGCCTCTGTCACCAGATTGTACATCATGAACCGCGATAGTCAGACAGTAGAAATTTCTATAGATGATTTATTTAAGTGGGGCATAAAATCCCATACAAGAGACATGATTTCTTTGCCATTTTTATAGATAACTGCCATATAAATTATTTCTAGGGAATTTGTAGGGTAGAAAAAACTGTTTAGGGTGAACATTTAGGGGGATGAAAAATAGATGTTGTCCGATTTTTCACGCTGGCCGATATGCACACAAAATTTCACGAAAATCGGTCGAGCCGTTTCGGAGGAGTTCAATTACAAACACTGTGACAAGAGAATTTTATATATTAGATGATACAGAACCCTTCGTGAGCGAGGCTGGCTTTTTATTGTTAGTAAAATGAATTTAACTCGTACGAATCATCTATAAATAATTTCGTATTAATTTTAATAACATTTGGGGTGGGTTTTGCAGTGCTAGGAACAATTATGCGCTGATCTTAATTTGTCCAGGACCGAAGTTTTCACTTACGGCTAGATGGCGGTCTTTGCTTCGAGATACCGCCATGGCAACACATGCCGGTGGAAATGGACCATCACATTGCGAAAGTGAAAGAGGCTTGGGGGAACCTATCGTCGACGAAGGCCACGCGCCGAATAAGTCTGGGCATAACGAATAAGTATAATATTTCGTCTGGCGTAACATTTTTTACTTACAAAATTAATTTCTAACATTGAAACAAGAAAATAAAACGCAAGGTAACTTATTATAACTACTGCTACTGTGGTTAGGTTAGGAACCGCAAGCTTGCTTGTTACCTTCTCACATAAAAAAAAAACAACATAAATAACGTTCAATATGGGAAAATATAATGTAATACAAAGCTAAAAAAAAAACGCTCGAAATGAACAAAGTAAATTGATTTAAATAATGAAAGGTTAAATTGAGAAATATAACAAATAAATGTTACATTTATATATTGTATAAATATAATATATAAATTACATATTTATATATTATGTAAATATAACATATATGTATGTTATTTGTACTAACAATTTTCAAGTTATCAACTTCTGAAGCATCGTCGGATTTAGACTTGAAGAGAACTATTACTTACACTACGAATAAATACTATAAAAACAAACAAATAATACAACTGTTTCTACCACTACATGTTATTGAAGTCATTCTGGATCCATTGTATTACATACGACTATATGTTCCGTCTGTTTTAGTGAAATAAGCCAGTATGTGGACACAGTTATCGGGCCGTTCTTAGACACTTATCATAGAAATATTCAGTCCTCGTACCATCAGCTAACGAATAAGATACTTAAAAAGACAAAAGACGAAATAAACTCCGCGTTGCGTAAAAAGCAGAAGATTTACGACGATCTGATTCGCCTTGCTGACAAATTAGCCGTTCCAGGTAATATAAGCTTTTTGTTACTTAATTTAAAAAAAAAAAAAAAAAAAACAATCCCTCTAACGTTTGTATAATGTTACATACTACATTTATATTATTGTCTCACAAGAGCACACTGTCGTGCGCTCATGCTAACAATGGTAACTCAGCAAACTGTTACTGTGTCGTTAGAGGTTTCAATTCCGGTGCTTCTTTCTGCTCCAGGAATTCCGGGATTATCGAAAGGTTGTAACTACTGTACTATGTTACCTACTTGTATAAAACCTGGAACAGGTTTTATACAAGTAGGTAACATAGTGATAGGGTATGGAAAATCACAAAAAACCCAACGGACTCAAATAATTTGACTATAGTCTCTTTTTATAATACTTATAATTAACGCCATAAAGTTTTTGAAAAATCAACTTAGACAACTCAAATAAAAGGTGCAAAGCATTGGGTGCCTACGTTTTAACTTTTGAAATTAATGCGTTGAACAATCGTTGCGGTCGTATTATGTAATAATAAAATATGTAGAAAGCATGGTCTACCCAGAAAATTTGTCCTATCTAATCTAGAATTTGCGAACCAAACCCTCTATGTAAAACTACGACGCTAATCTTTTGTTTTATATTTTATTGACGAAAAAATGTATACCCGCGTAACTTCGTCCGTGCCATCTATTGAATACTTACTCATAGATAGTTATAATGACACATAATAAAGAAATAATTCGCAATAAAAAATATTGCGACTATAAGTTGAGATTAATATAAACTACTTATCCTATCTCTCAAGTTGGATCAAACTGCATACAGTGTGCAAAATTTGATTACAATCGGTTCAGTAGTTCATCTCGGACAACGTGACACGTAATTATATATAAATAAATTAGATACTAACTACATTACACGTTATCTAACAAACCTTCGCCACGTGGCATGGCGCCAAGAAAGTTAGCTGCATTTACTCGCTGAATAAATAGACTTAACCTTTTTGAGTGAAAAGCAACCCTCTTATCACCAGTCGCAACGGCAGTCCGAGAACATAATTCTTTCAAAAATTTATCCACCAAATTAACGTGCTTAATTTTCGCCTAATTTGGTGTTAACATTTTTTATTTTCAATCTGGATTCTAGTACGATGACTAAGGAAAGAATATTATTATAATTTTGTTCAACAATTCTGTGATTTATTTCATGTGAGACGGTGGCAAGCGAGCTGTTGGTTTACGTGATGTTAAGTGATTACCGCTGCCCATGGACATTTGCAACACCCGTAGGGTTGTAGATGCGTTGCCACCTTTTAATAAAGTGGGCCCCGGTAACCTCGCTACTAGACGAAACGTAAAAGGATAAACATCCACTTCACGCCAGTCATCTGTAAATTCGTGTTACTTATCCGGACGGACCTGCCCATTCGTGCAACAGCAAAAATTGTTGCGTGGTCCTGCCACCGTTACAGGTTATTCAGGTGAAATATTTTATATAGCTAATATCACTTGTTATACGTTATTGTTGGTGTTATTTTATCAGTATGATAGCTAGGATTTTATGATATCGACTTTTGCTTCATTTTTATTATTTAATTTAGGTATATTATTTCAGTTTACGCAAGAAATATATCAGAGAAAGTTTTAATCAGAACGATATTAGTTTCCCAGTAACTACTCAAACGATCGCTCCATCTTTCACCTGAAATAACCTTAAATAGAACTAATCAAGTTATGTCTGATATATTAACCACAATTATATTTACTTTTAGATATGTGCAGTGAGGAGCGTAGATATGCTCGCACTATTGCTAGCAGACACGTTGCCCAAATATACAAATGCACACAAGAGGCTAGGAGTTCTATCACAAAAATGGGCAAGTATGCTGAAGAGATGATAATGATAACTCGAAATCACATGCAGGCGGCGCTGGAAAAGACCACGAACACAACTGGTTTAAAGGAGCCAGCAGAAAGAAGTCAGAAGTAAGAATTCTTCATTTTAGTATTCAGTGAACGTTACGTATGAACATTAACGTTAATACATAACGTATGAACATTGGCAACAATGATTTAACAGCGTAAATGCCTTTCCTTGTTAATAAGTTTGGTTAATCGTGTATAACTAAAATCCACAAAAGTGCGAATTGGACTGGCGCACGAAGGGTACCTTACCATTATCTATTAAAACAGCAAAAAAATCATGTCTGCTGTATGGGAGCACCGCTTTAATATTTTTTTATTCTGTTTTATAGTGTTTATTGTTATAGTGACAACAGAAATAAATCATCTGTGAAAATTTCAACTGACTTACTATGGCACGGTTAATGAGGTACAGCCTGGTGACAGACGGACTGACAGACAGACAGCGCAGTCTTAGTAATAGGGTTCCGTTTTACCTTTTGGGTACGGAAACCTAAAAATCAATATTTAAATCACAATGGTTTGGTTTAAAATTTGTTATTTTGAGTTTCAAAACGATACCTGTTTGAAACTCAAAATCACAAATTTGTCTCTTGGACAACTCTAGTTCCAGTAGTATCATATTAATTAACAGTTTTAAAATAATTGAGAGTGGTTCCTAGCCGATTCCAACGTCAAAAAATACGTTGTGATAAACTAACGCAACTAAGACTAGGCAATAACCGGCAAAACACTGTTTACGTAGTAATACGGATTTTCGTAATTGTATATTGTATGACAAAAAAACTTGTAGCGTTAGGATACATAACTTAAATAATCGCAAAATAGTAAATCAAGAAAAATTTACCCATCAGAGTGGATCACAAAGTTTACCTGAAAAACCTGTCCAAAGCGGCGGTCTCTCTCGGTTACGAATTGGATTTGAGTCTTACCAATGCGCGTCGCTTCAACGAACAGTCCTGCGAGAAATTCTCCATCTGTTGTTCAAAAGCCAGGAAGAGCACGGAAGACTCCGCTGCCACCTTAAGAGATCACCTGTATCAATGCGTCTATGCTTGACGAATACTAAATAAAGGTTGAAATATTTTTGATGACCTTTTCATTTTTCATTTTAATTAAAGCTTCATTATTTTCCCTAGGCCATTTTGGACAAAAAATTGTCAAATTAAAATTAATTTAATGAATGTGACCTCGGGGCAAGCCACGATTCGAGATTTTAATGACTTTGCCGACAATAGTGAGATAACCTACACGGCGCACATGAAATCCGATCTCTAGAATTAATTTGAGCCGCCAAAGTTTTTCCGATGTCCTTAGAATTTTGAATTCTCTATAACTAGTGTCAAAGTCAAACTTACTTTTTCTACAAATTTAATATTTAATCCTAACTGCAGAGTATAGGACTATTAAAAAATGGTGACATTTCTCGTTCGAATTATCGTTGTAAACGATATTCGAAATTGTTTGTATGCTGGAAAGTATATAGGAATATATATAATGCAAAAAAAGACAATGTAGATAAAAGACGATAAGATTTTCGTCGATGTGGCAATCAGTCACTTAACTTTGAACATGAAATATTAGAGGAGCAATACATAAATAATGAAAACTACTTATGGGTCCATATAAAAAGAATTGCCCTAAATATAGGGTTGATTTATCGACCACCGCATACCAATGTAAAAAATTTCATTGAAACATATTCGACACAGCTGGAGAAGTATAAAAGGACACTCGTTTTTGGAGACTTTAACATTAACTTACTAAATACGGATCGCACTACAATTGACTATCAAAATTCAATTGATGACTCTGGTTACATAATTATGAATAATATAGCCTTGGAATACAGCACACGCGAAACTCCTAAATCTGGTACTATTATTGATCATGTTTGTACCGACATTGTGGATAGCCAAAATTCTATGAATATTATTGACTCACCCATGTCAGATCACAAACAAATCTATATCGAAATAGGGAAGCATAAATTACCGTGTAGACCAAGGGTTCAGAACCAGTACTTAAGTTATGAAGGCCTTTATAAAAGTGTCCAGGCAAACATTCATCTGCATACTAATTCTCATAATAACTACACAGAATTTGAAAACTTCATTAAAAATGAAATAACTAAAAATCAAATTACAAAATATAAAATTTTAAATCCACCATTACAAGATTGGATTAACAAGGAAATAGTCACAAGTATCAACAAACGGAATGAACTTTGGCATAAACACAAAAAAGATCTCTCGAACGCGCAATTGAAAATGGACTTTAAAACAGAAAGAATGAAGGTGGCCAGATTGATTACAGAAGAGAAAAAAAAGTACTATCATAAGGTATTTGAACAATGTAAGAACAACCCTAAAAAGATGTGGAATACAATAAATGGTATGGCTAGGAATAAAACATCTCAAAGTTGCGTTCCCCCTAAGCTTATTATCGACAGTAAAAAAAAGTACATTAACTGATATCACTCCCATAAATTCCAATATGCTTATCAACCTAAGACCATGTACACGGGAAGAAGTTATAAAAATAGTAGATAATTTGGCTAATAATACAAGCTCAGGAATAGATTCCATCTCAATTAAGGCACTTAAGTGTATTAAAACTTTAATATGCGATAGTTTAAAATCGTGTATAAATACATGTTTAGAAAATGCATTTTTTCCAGAAAGCCTTAAAATAGCAAAGGTAAGCCCAATTTATAAAAATGGTAATAAAACCAACCCTAGCAATTATAGACCAATATCTGTGCTACCAGTAATTTATAAAGTTTTTGAAAAAATTATATACTCAAGGTTGTATGAACATTTAAACAAAATCAATTTCCTTATTGATCAGCAATACGGATTTAGACCAAAATCTAACACACTAACTGCTACGATAGATTTAGTAAGTAAAATCAGAGAAACTATTGATAATAAGCAAGTAGCTTTAGAAATTTTCATAGATTTAAAGAAGGCGTTTGATACTGTCTCGAACTTCTACTCAAAAAACTTAAAAATATAGGGATAGTTGGAAAAGCGCTACAAATTTTTGAATCATACTTACACGATAGGTATCAAGTTGTTCGGATTGGTGAATTTGAAAGTCAGCGCAAAAACATTTCATTCGGTGTACCGCAGGGATCTATTTTAGGGCCATTACTATTTCTTATATATGTAAATGATGTTAATTCAATAGGCATTACGGGGCATATAACACTTTATGCAGAATGAAGCCCAACGCGATCTTGACAAATTTGAGTCATGGCTACAAAAAAACTTGCTAACACTTAATATCAATAAAACATCCTACATGATTTTTACTGCAAGAAATAAAAAAATTGCTGAGCATGTACCACTTACCATAGCGAATCAACCGATAGCAATCTCCGATGAAGAAAAGTATTTGGGTTTAATAATGGACCATAAATTAACATGGAAAAGCCATATAGATAAAATACGCTCTAAATTGACACCATTGATTGTATCTTTAAGAAAAATAGCTAAACGTTTTCCGTATCCCGTTAAAAAACTTATATACAACTCGCTCATTAAACCACACCTAGAATACCTAATACAAGTTTGGGGAAGTTCAGCAATGACAAACCTAAATACATTACAGCGAACACAAAATAAAATAGTAAAGATTCTTTTTAACTACCATTATCTAACATCAACAGACATAATTTACAAAAATACAAAAATATTAAATATCAATAAATTATATACATACAGTACATGTCTTTTTGTAAAAAAAAAATACTTTTAAAATCAGTGCACTCACTTATAAATTTTCCTAAAAGATCACATCGATATTTAACCCGAAATAGACATAACCTTGAATTACCAACATGTAGAACTGGTGTAGGAAAAAAAATATTCGATTTGTGGGAGCGCAACTATACAACAAACTGCCTGAGGAAATTAAAGGATGTAAAACCATTGCATTCTTCAAAAAACGCCTATTAAACAACTTACTATCTGCTTAGATTTATAAGCATTGTTATCCGTCTGAGACTGAGGTTTGTGTCATATATATATTTAAGACTTCTATATGTTTATCACCTTTTAAGTGAACTATGTAATGTTCTTTTTGTGATAAATAAATGTCTTTAACCTGAACTTAGTGGCTAAAGCGTCAGGCCGCGAATTCCGAAGACGTGGGTTCGAGTCCCACAGCGGCAAAAACCTTTTCGTACTTTTTCTACAAATCTCACGCACTTTTTACTGTTGAAATATTGACAAGATAGAAAAGATTACGTTCAGGTAAAACTTCAAGGTCACACGTGTTATCACTTTTTCTACATTGATGATTTGAATATGTAACAATTGTGCAACCAAATATTAATAATAACCTTGTAATTGTGACAGGACATAATTATGATATTCTATATTATTCTAATATTTTCTATACGTGAAGGAAATTCATGTATAAAAATGCTGAAATATCTACAGGCTGAGTTATAAACTGACAATCACACTTCAAAAATCAGCTGTTTAGTAAAAGAAGTTGCATTATCCCACTAAAGTAAGCAAATACGTCTCCTTCGGTGGCGGAGTGAAATAATATACTGATCTTATGAAAGTATTATTAAAGCTGAAGCTTGGGAATGAAATATGCAGGTGTCTAAGCGGACGGGAACTCCAAAGCTTTTTACATTCACTCACATAACAGGCTTTGGTCCTGGTTACTTATCCATTCGAAAATGTACAATACTCTAGAAAGCTCTTCAACGCAAACGGAAAGGAAATTCTCGCCCTGTGATATTTTCTCGCGCTATTATTAACGTCTTGAGTTTGCGACGTTTGTTTATAATTATATACTCTATTAAAATATTTTTAAGGTCAATTCAATTTCAAACATATTTATTCAATGTAGAAGCATTGCACTCATTGATTGTCCAAATACTAATACGACTTCGGAAAAGAAAAGCCTGAGAAGAACCGGTGAAAGAAACTTAGATAAGATAAGTTATAGACTTTAAATAAGTTTACTTTCTGTTAAAGCATACACTTCCTTTGTGTCGTGACTTAATGACCGCAGGACTTTTAAAGGATTTTTATTTCAATATCATGGAACAAGTAATAAACAATTAAGCGGCACACCCTGTAAATTGTCACTGGCACCCATGAACATTCGCAAAAACAGGGTGACCACCACCACCTACAAATACCTGACTGGCCCTTGAGGACCGAAAATACTTCCTTCTTTAAGCTGCTGCCGACGACAATCGATTTTAGAAAATACTCGTCCATGACAGTAGCATTCTTAAAAATTGCACGAAGTAGATTAACTACAGAGCTGGTGTCGATGGTATCGAATGTGTGACGTTGATGGTGAAATTTGTAATTGTTTCACCGTACAGGCTACATATTTATTATGCTATTCTATTATACATTAAGCTGATTTTGTATTTCCTGCCTGAAGACATACGCCGAGCGGACTAATAATTAATCAAGGATAGAACGAGTATCTTATCGTATAATTGTATAAATGTATTTATAACATATATATCTTATGTATACATGTTCATATTTTTATATTGGATATGATGTATTATATAATTGTTATATAATACCTTAGTACCTGGAGGACTGCTTTTTGGTAAATCATGTATTTTGGAAATTACATTTAGATACAAATTACTAAGTAATAAAATATGCATAATATTTTTCGATCTTACCGACGTAATAATAAGAAAACATTCACAAAATAAATAACTTTAAAAAAAAGGTCGACAAAAAATAAAAAATAAAGAAAGCAATGATCTGGAATCGAAAAAAAAGTTAAAAAGAAGTGTGTAAATGATCGTGACACGAACCTCGGCCTTCTGTTTCGGGGCCGCCCGATTACCGACCGAGCTATTATAACACTTTTTTTATCGAAATTTACTGCCATATTCGAATGATATTTTTCATTCCCTGAAAACAGGGATAAAAGGACATTTTCTAAAAATGAAATCTAGCTAGATCGAATTTTCGCCACCGAATCTACGCACATACTAAATTTCATGAAAATCGCTGGAGCCGTTTCCGAGATTCCGATTATATATATATATATATATATATATATATATATATATATATATATACATATATATATATATATATATACATTTTAAAGGTATTAGATACATAGCGTTTTGGGTCTTCATTTTATTCACATAAATCCGTGTTGCATTTGATTTATTTCACTTATCACGATTTCTCCTCACGCCCCCCTATGTTTTTTTATATGCGAGCAGACGGTCCACCTGATGTTAAGTGAATACCGCCGCCCATGGACATTTGCTACACCCGAGGGTTCCAGATGCGTTGACATCCTTTTGAAATTTGGGCTCCGGCTACCTCACTCACCAGAAGAACGCGAAATTATTTGTCATACTTCCACTTTACGCTGGCCTTCTATGAGGTCGTGGTACTTACCCGGACGGAACTGCCCATTTGTGCAACAGTGTAGCCCTACCACCGTAAATGTGCAGTACAGTTGTTGATATTGTTGATCGGTGCTGAGCTGACTTTTTCTTACTGAAGGAAGTAATATATGTAAGAGCAACAGTATGTAATACGCTACAGTCTAATTTGTAAATTATATATAATAATATATATATATATATATATATATATATATAATTATAAAGGGTGAGTTGATGCTAAACATAATGGTCCAATTACCAATAGCAGAAGCGAAACGCCATTGAATCCTGAAATCACAACGACGATCTAATTTACCCATTATTTGCTGGCGCCGCACGCCTGGAGGAACCGGTGGACTGCAAATGGAGTGGAAGTAGACAGACGAATTCTTTATTGTGGTGAGGGACAAACACACTACATACAGTTCACCTATATCACATAACGCCGTAACGATGTCGGTAACGATGTCGCATTTTGCAAATTTAAATGTAAAATTAAAGTAAAATAAGAATATAAATAAGTAATAAATAAAAAATAAGAATTAATGAAGTTATAACTTACGATAGGTAAATTGTCATAAGTGTTAATCTTCTCGATGATGCTGCTGGGCAAAGGCCTCCTGTGTACAGAGGATATCACGGCATAGTCCGGCCTCACTGCGGATTGGCGGACTTCACATATTTTCGAAATATGTATATTTTTCGTTATTATTTTTAAAGACTGTCTTAAATAATTAAAATGAAAAAAAAATTTCGAATCGGTACCGTAAGAATTTTTTCGTGGGGGACGCCTATATTCAATATACGTAATTGAAAACTGATAATTCTTAAAGTGATTAAGCTACTGTGGTAGAGCCACGCAAGAATCTTCCCTGTTGCACTAATGGGCAGATCCGTCCGGGTAAGTACCACGATCTAACAGAAGACTGGCCTGAATATAATTAATAAAATATTTTGTTATTTAAGCCATGACCAGAGTCTTGTAATAATATATAGTATACGATATCCTACTAGGTTTCTGCGACTTACCGCAACAATCCTCCTGCAATCTCATAGGGCTCTATTTAGCCAACTCCAAACCTCGTGGCTTGGAGTTGGCTAAATAGAGCCCGGGCAAGTCACACAGCGCAGATATTAGAGTCCCGCAGAATATATCGCACAAGGGCCCATAGGTCACTGAGCACAGTACTTCCGGGGTGAAAGAGCGCGAGAAGAATATATTGTACTAGCACGCAAAAAACTTCGGTGCGTACGTGGCGATGACAGCAATTCGAATCTTTCACTGACTTGACTGCCGCTAGTTTGTGTGGCGCTAGCAGTAGCCGTAACTCACACGTTAAGGATTGAATTCAGACATAACGGCTGATCGCCAACCCAGTGAAGAAAAAAATAATAATAAGTAAATAGCATTTAGATACTCCAAATTGTGTCATCTTATTAAGTATGTTTAGAATGAATATAAAATTATATGAAGTAAACTACTCTTGTTCCAGTACGGAACATATAGTATTCAGAGAAAAAAAAAATGCTGTTAAAATAATTACAAAAACTATTTTCTTCACTATTAAGAAATTGAAACCAGGATATTAAAAGAATTTGCCACAATTTGACAACTTAGCTTCATGTCATGTCAAGTCATTAGTTCAATTGCTCTTAAACAACGAAATGACTAGTAAATTGTCTGAAGAAAATACTTGGTACGAACACCAAATTACATACTAACAACATAACGAGATACACAGCGTATTACGTAATTATCGTAAATATAGATTAAAAATAATTACTTAGTCAAGAACCATTTAAGTAATAATAGAAACCATCGTTTGAAAATAAGTTTACAAAGTAATAAATTATCTTAGTTGATGGGTTGAGCTGGCCACGATGATATCTGAAGATCTATATCTAAACAGACCTAAATTTGTAATGCAACATTTGGGGATTTGGATTGCACCTGTAGAAGAGTCCCCTTATCATAAAAGCTACCGGAGGCTTATGATGACACTACAGTATTTATTTTTGTCCTTTCAAATCATATACATCGTTCAGGTTTGGGGAGATTTGGAAGCCGTGTCTCAGGCGTCTTACTTGCTATTCACACAGGCATGTTTGTGCTTGAAAATTACTGTGTTTCAAGTCAATTCGGATATGGTGAGAGAGCTTTTGACAAGAATGAACTGCGACGTCTTCAAACCACAATGTGAAGAACACCTGAGGTATTAAACTTTGAACGTATTAATAGTTTTAGCATAATTTTTCAGAGCGATTGAGGGATTCAAGTTATAGTTTTACCTCTTTTTGAAACACACGAATGAAATGAAAATGTAAAAAAAAGTCAAGTTTTCGCATCTGATTGCTTCCATCTGACGAAACTATTAAAATTCACTTTAGACTTAGCAGGTCTATGTGGAGTGAGTGGTAACAACAATTCAAACGTAACTGAGGGTTACAACCATGTTAAACTAGTCATATTCCTGATAATATTTGGGTAAACACATTATCCACACGTAATTTTTTATCATTTGCATCTTCAAAATTAAGATGAAAATTATAATAATAAACAGATATTCGCCATTTTACTTGTGTCAAGAAAATTAAGACACCCAGTAAGAAACCGGAATAAAGAAAATGTTACGGATGCACGGCACTGGAAATTATGATTTTAATTACATGAATATTCATTGAATACTTCTAAATACGCTTGTCAGCCATTTAATAATTTTAAAGTTTCAGACTATACGCATATTCGAAACCTTGATGAGTAAATACTACATACCTGAATCAAGATGAACTTGTAACTACTTACTTACTTATTTTATATATTATTAAAATTATATTATTTATAAATGTTTGTACGGTTCTATTGCTTTAAGAAATAGGGCTGCCCCTTGAACAACACTCTGATTTTTATTTTTATATCTTTATTGTGTATTTTTATCATGCTGCGTGTGATAGTGAATAATCAATGAATGAAAAATTGTGTAAGTCCGTCAATGAATGAATGAATTATTCATTCATTGACGGACTTACACAATTGCCTGGACGCGCAATAACCGGCAGAGCTTAGCCTCATTACATAATACTTTTACAGCATTTAGCGGGGTACTATAGTTCATTTTAATACGCATTTGTTTCCATTTTGTAGAATTTTGAAATGGCACGCCACCCGTATCAAGAGACTTTTGCTGGCTTTTATGATAAGTTCACAAACCACGTGTGGCTTGTGGGCATTGAAACCCTTGTTTGATGACGCAGGGGATAGGAAATTCCCGTTCGATATGTGGTATGTTATTTCATTACCATAAGCCATAAAACTATTCAATTTGTTAACAATTGTACATGCCTATAAACAACGTTTAATGTAGTTAACTCGCTGAGGCAATTTCTCGAAGCGGGGGAATCAATTTGCCTAAAAAATGCTGAACACGAAACTTAATCACTTTAGAAGTTATCAGTTTGCAACTAGGCATGTTTGTTGAAATATTCTGTGGTGACTTGCGATTTGTTACTTCTAAAACACGAACACAAATTTTCGTTTCATAACTAAGTATGTTCTGATATTTATTCTTTGTAATCCGATAACCCAAAGGCTACCAATATTAATCATATTGGTAATAGTAAAAAGTGATTTCTTTTATATTGGGTGGCATTCTAAACTCACGACGAGTTTGAGTTAGTACAGGAGTTTTCAAAGTTGAGAAACGCGGAGTCCTATTTGATAATACCTCTAGTTGGCAACAATCGATTCCACAAAGTGAAAATCGTCGAGAATCATACACATAACTTCGTACTGGAGGTTATGGTATTTTTTACTTTTATAAAATAATTTTTAGGATGCCAATACGACCAGAATATTCACCTCAATATGAGCTTGGATACATATTTCAACTGATTACGATCTGCTTGAGCGCGTACATGTATTTCGGTGTTGATAGCGTTGCACTATCTATGGTTATATTTAGTTGTGCCCAAATCGACATTATAAAGGATAAACTTTTACAAGTAAGAGTATTCATTTTTTTAAACTTTTAGAAATGTATATTTCGTAAGTTACTTTTGTTATGCGCAACTTAACATAAGATAAGATCATATAAGACAATCATTTGTTTGATTTTAACATGGTATAGAACAGTTACAAATATAATAAATACTAGCTTTACGCCCGCGGCTTCGCTCGCGTTACAGCCCTTAAATAATTACACTATTTTTTTAGAATAGAATCCTCTAAGAGTAATTAATACCTCTAAGAACATGTGTACAAAGTTTCATGATATTCGGTTAAGTAGTTTTGGCATGAAAGCGTAACAAACAAACTTACATTTACATTTATTATGTTCAATAGGGATTATTATAAATATTATAATATTATTGTAATAACTATTCTGCATTGAAATATTCTGCATCTCTTAGTATCTGTTTTGGTTAGTCTATTCTCGACTTTCTTGCAGATAAAAGGCTTCCAAAAAAAACGCTATGTCTTGGAAGAAAGAGAAAAGTATTTAAATGACAATTATTATAAGCTGATCGAATGTGTAAAACATCACCAGTTCGTCGTGGCGTAAGTAAAATTTTAAACTATTCAATTTATTTCAAATAATCTCTTTTGTCAAACAACCACGCGTAATATAAGAATCATATAAGTTATATAAGAAACAATAACAATTTCATTAAAAATCAGTCCAGCCCTTTAGGAGGAGTTCAGTAACACGCACAGAACAATAATATGTATAAAGATCATAAAAAATAGAATTAGTACAGATTTATCTTCGAATTACGATTAGAATTGAGAGAGATGTTTGTGGAACTTGGTTCCTGATGGGGATCTTAGACCTCTTTGTTTTTCTTACAAATGATAATTTTTAAATTAATAATTTAATGGAAACTAGAACAACATTTTATTAGATTTTCTTTACAACGAAGTGTGAGATGCAAAGTATGTGATTTTAAGCTTCTAAGTTGAATTAAATATTCTCATAATTCAAAGTTAATATTTTTTTTCTTTTCAGATTCGCCAAGCTTGTAGAAAACGCTTTTCATATATTCCTACTATTTCAACTAGTTGGCAGCGTAGGACTGATTTGTATGTCTGCGTTGCGTATTTTAGTGGTAAATCTATTAATATTATTTTTAATATTTTAATATTTTATTTTTAATATGTTATGAAAATATAAATTGAAACTTTTGTTTTTGATTCACAGCGAGATTTTGGTCGGCGAAGACGCTACATGTGTTGCAAAGCGTTTGAAAAGTTATTTTTCAAAAACCTAACATCCTATGTCTTTGTTATTAACAGGTGGATTGGCGAAGTATGCAGTTTGCGTCAATAGTCACGTACTTATCAGTAATGATAAGCCAGCTGTTTGTTAGTTGTTGGTGTGGGCATGAGCTTACAGCGAATGTAAGTATTATACATTTATAAAGATGTATTTACCTGTTTTAAGCCACATTACGTAACCTTCTTGATACAATGTTTTATGATTAGTAATCTAATCTTTTTTCTTTAATGGTGGTAGGCACACGCAGCTGTCTCGGTTGTGTGCACAACACGCAGCTGTGTTGCACGAATGGGCAGGCTCGTCCGGGTAAGTACCACGACCTCACAGAAGACCGGCGTAAAGTGGAAGTATAATACTTTTGCGTTTTGTCTGGTGAGTGAGGTGGCCGGTGCCCAAATTTCAAAAGGTTATCAACGCATCTGCAAACCCTTGGGTGTAGCAGATGTCCATCGGCGGTGGTATTCACTTAACATCAGGTGAACCACTTGCTCGCTTGGCAACTTTTCACATAAAAAAAAATCTATAAGTAAAAATATATAGGAGAAATGTCAGGCAGTTAATGTTTTGTCAGATATCAAATCCAATAATACCTTTTAATTTTTATTTTAGACAAATACAGATATTTTCAATATAGCCGGGACGCTCAGCACGAGTAGCTTTCACAGTAATATTACATATCATAAACTACTACCCTCTTATTCTTAACTTATTTATCTTTTCATTTCTCGACCAATATGTACAGAGTGAGGCGCTGCACTCGGTTCTTTACAAATGCGCTTGGTACGAACAAGATGTGAAGTTTGTTAGAGCTTTCTGTCTTACTATGATGCGTATGAACGAGCCATTGGTGATGAGGGTCGGCCATTATGTAGCGCTCTCACGGCAGACGTTTGTGGCGGTATGTATAAATCTTCAATTTTACAATATAGTAACATCACAACGTTTTTTTTTTCACCGCCGAGGAAGATACCAGTTACTTCAGTTCAATTACTTTTACATTTTTCAGATCCTCCGCACGTCTTATTCATATTTTGCAGTTTTAAATCAAAGGAATTAAAAAATAAAAATCACTATTGCCTTCTTTATAACTTACTAGCGGCCCGCCCCGGCTTCGCACGGGTTTTTTAACAAAATTTTTAAAAGAAAAAAATTATCATACACATAAAATATTTCGAATATTTCGTCTTTGGTGAATGATTTTATGAGTTTCTTCATCTTTTAATGAAATACCCTTGAAATTACGTCATGAAGATCGAAAGACCGCTGACCAGATAATGGTTCCGCTTTAATTACGGGACATTCGGGGTTACACGTGAAAGTAGCGGCTCCTCAATATTGGGGAGACTAACTTTTCCAGAAGCACAGCACATATCATTTGGTTCATCGACCCATATTTAGGCAGAACACTGAGCAGATCTTATTCATGGCTTCGAATTGGACAGAAGACTGTTGAGCATAATGCAAAAAAGCTGATCTGTAACTGTGAACTAAAACTCGATTACGAACTCTAGTCGTTGACATTTGTTGTCTTTCTCTCGATCTCTTAATCTCGTAGGCGTTGGAAACGCTCAGAGCTCGATTTCCTAGTGTGAATTTGTATATTTATATTATTTCTCTTCAAGCCACTGCAAACACTCTACTTGACTCTCTCCGACTTGTAAGAAGATTTTCAGTTTCCGGTAAAGATGCTTCATTAAAACGTATTTATGATGCCCTCGCTTGGGAACTTTTTCTAGAAAGATGAGATCTTGATCTTTGGGCATTTTAAAATGATGTTGAACTGGAATTACCACTAAAAATGTGATTGAGAAGTACTAAGTCAGTCACTAAGCTGTTTGGATAGTTAAATAATTTTAACAATTAAAAATATACTAACAGTTTTAAACTTGTGATATCTTTCGAATGGAATGTCCGAATTTGATAATTCAAAAAGTTCTATAAAGATATTGAAACGGTCTTAAATAAGAAGTAATTTATTTTTATAAGGATGAATACCAAGATACAAATAAAGAGCCTTTTATAGCGGCGGCATTTCAATCAAAATTTTAAAATAAAAGAACACTTATTGTGGCATAACTATAATAGTTAGACATATGCTGTCGCGGCACTTTTTGTAAATAATAATGTGTTCCAAAGTCGTAGTACATTATTTTATTCTCTCATCAATAGTTTTCGCAGCGCACGCGATGTAAAGAATATTCTAGGTAATTTTGTACACCTTGAGTAACATTATTGGAGTTTTAGTAAGGATCCCTAATTTTTTTGAAAATATAATATAGCCTATATCAAGCAGGGATAGTGTAGTTTCTCAACAGTGAAAGAATTTTTTAAATCGGTTCAGTAGTTTCGGAGCCTATTCAATACATACAAACAATCAAATCTTTCCTCTTTATATAATAGTATAGATAACTAATTAATTATTTGTATATATGTACCCACTAATCGAAAACAATTTTGTGATGAATATAGTGTTTTTTCACTGTATAGATATAGCACTGATACTATATAGCACTAAACGTTAATTGTAACAACATCAACTATACTTCAACGATAAATAAATTGGTTGCAATTTCCTCTAATTACATTGTCAATGTGAAGCCATCATGTAAATTGTTCGCTGTTTACTATTCAGTCCACATACGTTATGCGATCCTTTTATTAGCACGTAATTTTATTAAACGAACCGTAATTTGTGGTGTGTTGTTTTTATTTTTTACAGCTTTTAGTTACAATTTTCTTCTTAATCTTTTTTAATGAATTTAAAAGTGAGTAGTGTCACTTATGCCTGAGAATTTGAGTTTTAAGCCCTCTACTGGAAAAAATATTGAGTGAAAAACGGATTGAATTGAAACTGTGATCTGTCTTATCGATTAAATGTGGATTTTCTACACGACAATCGCATATGTTGTGGAGAGCCTTGTAAAAATTATTTTTAATATTGACTCATAAGACTATAATTTTTTTTAAAGAATATTCTTATTATCGTCTGACAAAATGCAACTCTTTCTAGATAATCTCGCATTAATAAAGTTCCCAATTGCTGTACGTGATACAACCCTAATTTTTTTCAAGATCAGACGACTCTGAGAGTAAACGGTTTTTGTAAAAACTCGACTCGATACGAACAGCATGTGGGTGCAACTGCACCCCCATAATTGAGGTACATGTTGCCAAGTATACAAACATGGTGGCTCTACACAATTAAAAGATCAACAATAGTTCAGGAAAAAACAAAGGTTAAAAAATACATAGTTCAAATCAAAATCAAAAGCAATAAACACAAAACATAAATAATAAGCGGTCAAACCACTCTTGGTCTATAATGTAAAAAATCGGTCTTTATAGTATTAAATGCCTATAATTTCGAAAGTACTTAACTAAGCTTTTTTGTTTCTCTCAACTCATTTCCATCGCTCTACTTAACGTCGACATCTGCATAGGATACCCTGTATACGTCCCACTGCTTGGCAAAGGCTCCTCTGTAAGAGGGTATTAGGGCGTAGTCCATCACACGAACCAATTGCGAATTGGTAGACTTCACATACGTTCGAAATATTGTTGACGTTACTGTTTGCAGGTTTCCTCGTGATGTTTTTCTTCACCGCTGAACACGTGATGAGTCAGCTCTTTGATCGCAAATAACTATTTAATGGGTGTCAGCACCGAGAGTAGAACTCAGGTTGCTCGGTAAAAGCGAGCGCCTGGATACTGATGCTCGGTTCCTATATTCAACGAACGGCCGTTAGTTACAAAACTTCCATACCTTTAATAACCCTCGTTATAACGTCTTCATAGTGACAATGTAACTAACGGCCGTCCGTTGAATATAGGAACCGGGCTTGAGCTGTCATGGCGTATAAAATCTTTATATTCATTTTAAACAGATATAGGAATTGTCTATAATCCGATATCTAAATCAGAGATTCTGTGGCAATAGCGTCAGTCTGCTATGATTCGCGTTCATCTATCGCTATTTTGACGCAATTCGGCACGCAGATCCATCAATCGGCGGCGAAATGCCTATTAGACGTAGCCATGCGGAGATTTCATGGAAAGAGAGTTTGACCACTTGTGCGTGTGTTGTATGATTTTTCCGATATCGTTGGATTCGTTTGTTTAATCAGTGCTTGACTACTGTACTAAAGAGTACTTGTAAGATAAGTAAAAACATTAAACTAATAAGCCTATTACAAGCATCTTATTTTTTGGCTTTAACATTTATGATTCAATCCCATACGACGATAAGGCTGATTTTGGAAGATTGTTTCATATAACAAAGTGCCTTTTAGTTGTTGAATACAGATCGAGAATCTAGATCGTAGTGAAGTCGATTCATACATATTGTTTTCTGACAGTAACTTAAGATCGTTTGATTCAGTAATCAGTACATATCTAAAATTCATCATTACGATCTATGTCGAAGGCACATCAGATGGCGCTGACCATTGCTAAAAATGTAATATGAACGATGTAGATAAGAAATCTAGATTTTGGTCCGATGAGGATATGAACCCTAGCTAAGTGGTTAAAGCATCTAGGCGCGTCACCCGCAAGGTGTAGATTCGTATCCTGGCGGTGGCAGAAAATTTTCGACGATTTATCTAAACTACATTTTAAGTTTCATCTTAAGTGCATAGACTAACACAACAAACGATCCAACGCTTCGAGAAGTAGACGACACTGTTGCTAGCCAAGCCAACATTTTAAAAGAACAATTTTTTATTAATACTCCCTTTTTAGAACTAGAATTATTGGTAAGAGGTGATTTGGAAAAGGTCGTTACGGACAAGCTAATCGAAAGCCTTTTTACTTTCCTTACCCTTTAATTTACTTTGACCTTGAAATCTATGCCATTACATTTGAAGAATCCATTGATTAAAACTATAGACTTCTGGCATTAAGTTCTAGGAGGTAAAGTTTCAATAAAATCTGTCGAAGTTATATATCTTCATGCTATCAAAAAATACTCAATAGTAAAGTTCCAATTGAGTTATTTTATTTGCAAATCACAGCTCTTCAGCAATAGTTCGCGCAATTTGGAGTACTTGTGAACTACTGTCGTCTTCGCTATCGATTAATTTGAGCTCAGTGATTAAGTGGTTAAGTTCGACTGCATCTCACAATACTGGGATCGTATACAAATGGGAGTAATTTCTAATTGCTAGTCAGAATTTAAAGAACTTTTACCATGCACAAAGTTAAGGATGAATTTAAAATGATTTCACAATATTTATGAACATGTTTGTGAATGTAAAACGCTCTCTAGCTAACTTAGTCTTTGTATTAGGAATTACTTATAACATAATGAGTAAGAATTAAAATCAAATGGTACTGAATATCTATTGATTCGGTGATAACCATGAAAAATGAGTTTAGCAGAGCCGACTCTAATCAATTATTTTAATTTTTACGAATTTTTTTAATTATAACATACCGTATCCTGAATTCATATTATATGGCTTATGCAATAGAGAAAAATGTAACAATTAAATTTGTTACAAATTGAAACTGACGGTAAGTTTTGATGCGGTAGTCTGATTCCTAAGTGTTGATTTGATTTCTGTATTAACTCTCAGTAGTATCAAAAATAGTGTGTAACTGCAGCTCTTAGATTTTATATCTCTTCAGCTCTTAGATAAAATTTTCGATAACTTTGAATAAGGATTACATTCTGAAATATTTTGAAGCTTACTTCAACGAAATTTACTTCAACGTATTGTTTCAAAATATTGCACAATTTAAATTCATGCAAAAGAACGAATGGTGTAGTGACGTATGTCCATTGGGACCAACTATTTTAAATGTTGGCACTTCTTACACAACCCGTTAGGTACTGTAGATGTCCACAGGCAACTGTAATCAGCTTACTTCGCTACTTATCACCTTTTTAAGACCGTGTAGTTTTCAGTTAAACTCGGATTTCACTCGCTACGCTCTTTTATCTTAGCGTTAAATGGCGATATACGACATTTATATAATATTCATTATATTTTTTGATCAAGCAATATGAAAATTGATAGGCATGATGATGGAAGATAATTACAAAGAGATAGATAAATATAATTAATTTCTATTAATTTATCAACATTGAGTGTATGATGGATATTGGCAAATAATTAGGAGACAATTACTATACTGAATTCAAACAATCAGTAGCGATGTAACGTCAAAAACATAGTAGACGAAACACGAAGAACTGTTTTGATTCGGAAATTTTTATCAACACGTGTGTTCTTTTCATACGGTTTCGCATCACACACAATGCTCTAAACATTCTAAGTTCCTACTTCCAAGTACTGTTGAGAAGAGAATCCTACATGAAATTAGACTATGTCAATATAGACTTCCTAGTAGTGTTTGTGAGGCGAAAGCCATTTATTAGGTACGCCTAACTGCATTAAATTCAAAAAATGGAATAACCCCGTGGCACAGTCGTCAAGGTATTGGCTTCGGCGTCGGGGGTCGTGGGTTCGATTCCCATACGGGACAGCTATTTGTGTGACCCACGGATAGTTGTTTCGCATCTGTTTGTCTACGTGAAATTTATGTATGTAAAAACTTCCTTGCAACACAGGATACTGTTATCTTAAAGTGAGGGCAATATCTTTAAAAAAAGAAAGAGAGAGAGAAATTAATGAAGTAAATAAAATATCAAAAAAGTTGCTTTAAAAATAAACGAAAACGATTTAAAGAACAAGCCGACATAAATCATACTCATAGTCTACAGTTTGAAACATCTAATAGGAGACAATTACTACTAGTATTATGAAACTAGAAGGCTAGCACTGAAAATCAGCGCTGTGTTGGGGCCTTGACTTCCGGCATAGCATAATGCTGAGCTGCTAACCTAATTTACCGGAATAGGGCGTACAATATTTTTGGTTTGTTAAAGTTCTTTTTCATTTGTTTTATATTTTTATTATGTTTTTGTGTTCTTTTGCTTCACTGAATTATTTATAAGTATTTTTTTATTTCTTTTATTTTTTGTTAATATTAGTTTATCTTTCTCTTTTATTGTATGCGTCCTTTTTTTGGTAAGTAAATGTATTTTCTTTCTTTCTTTCTAATACAACCATCACAATCCTACTCAATAAATTCCAAGAAAGTGATTTACGAGGCCAATGCAATAGAGAATACAACAAAATTTTATTTTTGGGTATTCGGGTGGGATTCTAATATCAATAAAATTTAAATCAAGTCGTAATAAATGCAGGCATTCCGCTTCATGCTTCCACACGGAACGGACGTAAATCTGAGCCGGAGGGCCCATGCCAGCCGACCCGGAAACCATCTTGCAACCGTTGTTGCTGATATATTTATTATCTTTCTTGGTGTGCACTGTTCTCCTCATCGTTGTCGTGTTTCGCGGTCTACGGTTAGGGAAGTCTCAAGCAAGAAGATAGAAGAAAAATTATAGAAGAAAGAAAAAACATTACAGAAGAAAGAAGAAGCTTTGCCCGACTTCCGAGCGGATAGTGTTAGTGTAGTGTAGTGTTGTGCTCGTAGGCAGGTTCCTGTCCGTAAGTAGAATCTACACACATTTTTCGTCTCAGAGGCGGCATTGTAATTTTTACCTGTGTGCTTGTTGCATTAGGCGACCGCTAGGTACTCACCCTAGCGCACCTAAAGCGCAGGCGACTAAAGGTTAATTTTAGGCACACACCTCCCTGCCGCAAGGTGGGGAGGCCTATTTAGAAAACCCACACTCCGGCGGGGCGCAAGCCCCAAAGGCTCAAGCGTCGACATGGGTTCCCTCATAGAGGAATTCCTGCGTCAAGAATGCCCTGAATTATGGGTAAAATATTTGAATTTCGCGAGGGAACGACGCATCGTCGTCGAATTTTCTAGCGACAGTCCGGCTTCACCGGCTGCCGCCTCGCCGCCATCTCCGGTGCCTTCTGCGCCAGTCATCGAGTCGCCCTCTGCGACAATTGATACGCCCGTCGCGTCGACTTCCGCCGCCGCGAACGAACCCAACGCGCCTTCACAATCGGACGGCGGCTCAGACATGGAGGTCGAAACGACCCCCGCTAACAACGCGAACGCCGACGGCTTCACCGTCGTCAAATCGCGAAAAAAGGGCAAGAAACGCCCCGCTACCGACAGCGACCCCGAAAGCGAGGCCGCCCCGTGAAACCGTCCCACCGCGACGCCCGCCAAAAAGGCAGCCGCGTCTGCCCAGTCGGAACCGACATTCGCCTCCGAAGCGAAAAATCAAGCCACCGCCGCCAATAATAATACAAGATAAGGCAAAATGGCACCAGGTTTGTTCGTGGTTTGAACGCCACAACATCCGAGACCCCCGGTCCAAGAATACGCATATGGGTATCCGCGTATACCTCGATTCTTCGGACGATTTCCGTCGCGTAACTAAGTACTTGCGCGAAGCTAAGGTAGGTTTCCCCACCTACTCACTACCCGAAGAGCGTACACTTCGGGTCGTAATTAAGGGCGTCCCAAAAGAGTCGGATGTCGATATGGCTAAGATCGACATCCGCACTCAGGGATACCCTGTTCACGCCGTGCGTCGTCTTAGGCACCCTCGCACCCGTGTCCCTATGGACATGGTCATGGTGGAACTTTACCCTACCCCGGAAGGTAAGGCCATTTTCAACCTTAAGAGGGTCTGTGGGCTCAGTGACTTAGTCCCCACGTAAATCAGGTGTTGTGGCACAGTGCCACAACTGTCAACATTTTGGCCACACGGCAAATAACTGCTTCGCTCACCCAAGGTGCGTCAAATGCACCGGTGACCACGGCACAACCGAGTGCACGAGGCCGAAAGATTGCGCAGATCCACCGGACTGCGTAAACTGTAACGCCACCGGCCACCCGGCTAGCTACAGAGGCTGCGCTAAGGCCCCGAAAACTCCCGCGAGGAAATCTCCCGCGAAATCGACGTTGCCCAAACCCGCGCCCGTTAGATTCATTCCCGCGCCCGTACCCGTCGTAAACGCCTGGGCGAAACCCCAGGTGGCCGCGCAGGTAACCGCGCCGGTAATCCCGGTCGCCTCACGATCGATCGCGCAACAGCTGCCCGCCTCTCAAACGGCGCCGCGGCCGCAGGTGCAGCCAATTCCGCCAGTTTTCGCGGAAAACAAGGACGACCCATTCGCGCAAATAGCTAACATCTGCAGCTTATTAGATAGAATCAATAGGCAGGAACTCGTCGTATTGTCCGCTAAAATAGCGGCCGCCACATCTGGCCACGAGCGTCTTAGGGCAATTAGCCAACACAAAACGCTTGTGGAAGCCCTTTGGGCTTTTATGAGCCAACCGTAAAAGACAATAGTCCGCGCAATAAAACCGCGCTCCGCCGCGTCGTTAATTAGACCCATAAAAACACCTCAATGGGAAGTACAACCTCAGATAGAACAAAACCTCGGGCTCTGGTTGTTTCGTATTTCAACGCAAACGGCATAAAGGGTCAAAGGGATGAAATCGCGGAATTCCTTCGCGATTATAACGTAGATATTTTCCTAGTGCAAGAGACATACTTGAAACCTAGTGTACTCGATCCCAGAACCGCAAATTACAATATTGTCCGCCACGACCGGTTAGCAAACCGTCTGGGAGGCACACTTATTTATTATAAACGGTCCTTGCACTGTTGCCCGCTCGACATTCCAGAGCTAAGTCAAATAGAGGCAACCGCGTGTAGGTTAGCGCTCACCGGCCAGAGGCCGCTTGTACTAGTCTCAGCCTACCTCTCGGGGAATAGAACCCTCCTTCAAAGCGACCTAGATGCGCTTCTAAACTTAGGCCCTTCCGTGATAATTGCAGGAAATCTAAACTGCAAACACGGTTCATGGGACATCAACAGCATCCCAAACAACAACGGAAAGCATCTCTTTAGCTTATCCGATAACCTAAATTTCAGTATAGTCGCTCCCGCGACTCCCACTAGGTACCCTACGGTGGACAACTACCAGCACGCGTCACCGAGTGTCCTAGACATAATGTTATTCAGGGAGGTCTCGCTCGACATCGAGTCGATAGAGACAATCCATGAACTAGACTCAGACCACAGGCCCGTCCTGTGTAAACTGGGCCAGAACGCCGGCGCGGTCCCTCCGACCAAATCCGTAGTGGACTGGCATCGTCTTGAGGTCAAACTCAAGGCCTTGGACCCCCAGAACTTAGTAGACTTACCCGAGACGATAGCTACGTTCGATGACGCAAATCGAGCGATAGCGAGTCTCCGCGAAACTATCACTTCCGCAGTCACAGACTCGGAACGGACGGTGAAACTGTCGGGCGACCGGCGGTTTAACTTTCCGCCCGACCTACGACTGCTAATTAGACAGAAAAATGCAGCAAAACGCGCCTTCGACCGATACCGATCGGAATCGAACCGAACCCTACTTCGACGCCTTCAGCTAGAAGTCAAAGATCGTGTAACTGTAAGAAGTTGAAAATTTTTTTACAATGTTATGAATTAAATCAGTGTGTTACTGAGCCTACCCATTTCACGGAATACAGTGAAACTCTAATAGACGTAGTATGTACAGACATTCAAAAATCATTCACATCTGTGAATCATATACCGGAACTAAGCGGTCATGCATTTATTTGCTGCGAATTAAATATAAAAAAACCGAAACCGAAACCGATTATTATATCGCGTAGAAATTTGCATGTGATTGATAATGAACAGTTCCTATTAGATTTGAAGTCTTTAAATTGGTCAAGTTTCAAAACATTGGATAGCGTCGATGACATGGTATCATTGTTTAATACTATGTTGATAAAATTATTTAACATTCATTCGCCCGTACGTACAAAATCATTAAAACACTACCAATATCCCTGGATTACTTATAATATACAAAAAATGATGAAAGTAAGAGATGAAGCAGGTGTTGTTGCACGTAAGTCAGGTGGTACAGCAGCCCAAAAACTACTTTATAAAGAGCTCAAACACTATGTTGCACAAGCATTAATAAGAGAAAAGAAAGCTTACTACAATTTTTTTATAAATAATCAAAAAGATACTCGCATCGTATGGTTACATATAAAAAAAACGTTAGGTTAAAAACCAAGCCTGACCTGCCTCATCATATTTTCAACGATCCCGATTTGATTAATACAAGCTTTTTAAATGTGCCCGGAAATAATCAAGTTCCTACTTCATATATGACATTCTTTAAATCTCACGTCAAAGTCTCAAATGTATTCAAACTGAAGACAATTGAGGAAAGTGATGTTGTGAAAATAACACAGTCATTAAAGTCAAATGCGGTAGGTGCAGACGGTATTTCCTTGGATATGTTGAAAATGTCTTTTCCCGTAACAATACCTGTTATTACGGAGATAATTAATAAATCAATTACAACGCAAACATATCCCTCAGAATGGCAGCACGCACTCATCAGGCCTATACCCAAAAACTCAAATCCTATTAGCATGAAGGACATACGCCCGATTAGTATACTCCCCTGTGTATCAAAAAATTTTGGAGAAAGTCGTGGCTGAGCAGGTAAGAATATACTTAGAAACCAACGATGTGCTTCCCAGTCTTCAGTCAGGGTTTAGAAAACTCCACAGTACGTCAACCGCTATGGTAAACGTTGTCGACGATATACTATCAGATATAGACAGTGGCAAAGGAACGATTTTAGCCTTGCTAGATTTTTCCAGAGCATTCGACTGTCTTAATGTGCCATTGCTTTTGTCTAAATTACATTACTACGGTTTCGACATATCTGCGATAAAATGGTTCGAAAGCTATTTCAAGCATCGTATACAGCAAGTAGAAATATCAGACGAAAATGGGTTACCAGTCATTTCGAACGCTCAGGCTGTCAAACAAGGCGTCCCCGCAGGGATCTATCATGGGACCTATTTTGTTTGCCGTGTATTGTGCGGATATAACAAAGTGTATTAAGCATTGCAAATACCATATGTACGCGGATGATACACAGATCTATATACCTTGTAAACCGGGGGAGACTAAATTAGCGGTGGAAAAATTAAATGACGATCTCGAAAGAATTGCAGCTTGGTCAGATTCGAACGCATTAGTCCTTAATGGAAGCAAGTCTAAATATATGATTCTAGGTACGGCTCAGCAAATACAAAAAATAGCAAAACACGAAGCTAAGGTAACCATTAGGAGCGAACGAATTGAACGCGTGACTGAGGCTCGCAATTTGGGTTTGTTAATAGATGACAAGTTACACTTTGAAAGTCACATAATAAATACTGCAAGAACATGTTTTTATAGGTTAAAAGTATTATATCAAATTAGAAATTGCCTAAATACCGATATGCGGATAAGACTGTGCGATTCTTTGATTTTGTCTAAATTTAATTATATGGATATAGTGTATGGCCCTCGTCTGCTTGTGCGTAGCAAGAAACTTGTGCAGAGGGTGCAGAATGCCTGTGCGAGATTTTGCTTTAAAATACCTCCACGCGCTCACGTCACGCCGTACATAAACGAGCACAGTATTTTAAAATGCAGTATCGTCGAGAACACCACCTAGCCACATTTCTATTTGGATTAATTAAATATAATATACCACCTTATCTATATCACAAATTAGTGTGGTCTCGCGACGTACAATCAAAGATCACTCGCTCGTCATGTTACTCTTTGGTTGTTTTCCCTACCATCGTACCATCGGCTTTCGTGGAAGTTTCAAATATTCTGCCTCTAAATGCTGGAATAACCTGCCGCCACCGCTTCGTAGTCTGAAAACATTAAATACATTTAAAATAAAATATAAAGCTCACCTAATTAATGTTCAAAAAGCTATGGCGTGATATTTACGTACCTAAATAATTACAGACACTTAGCGCTGTCCGGTGGGTTCATACGAAAAGCACATGAGAGTGCATAGAACTTTTTTTTTTTTTTTTTTGATACGTAAATGCTGGAAAAAAAAATTTTTTTTTTCATGCTATTAATTATTGACTTTATTAAAATATTATTTCCAATGATAAAATTGTTGCTTAAGATTATGATTATGATTACATACCTGTGAGAAAATATTTTTGTAGGGTACCATCATTTAGCATATCTTTTATATTATTTCCAACTCCAACTCCTCATAATATACATGACTCTTATGGTGATAACAACACTTTTTAAAATGTTTCGGACATTCTTTTCCTTTCTTTTTTCATTAGATCCAGTTAGTTCATTCATGTAATTTATGTTAATTATTATTAGTGTTTGAATGACGGTGTGAACGTCCGTACGTCACTTAATTCACAGGCCCACTGAAAACCAGCGCTGTAGTCTCGTATTGACTGCAGCATTAAGCTGAGTGTGGTCTGTTTGCCGTATACGCCACACACAATTGTGTGCGTAAAATGTGTAATGTATTTAATATTTTTTTTTATTCTTCTTTTTTTTCTTCTTAGTATGTATTTTTTGTTAATGGTTTAAATGTACATGTGGCGTATTTGAGCAATAAATGTTTTCTTTCTTTCTTTCTTTCTTTCTTTCTGTATCGGAACACCGACACACAACGTGGGACACTCTCCTAGAGGACATCGAGCCATCGCACACCGCCTACTGGCGGTTGGCCCGCAGTCTGAAAGCAGACCCCCGCGAATCTCTACCGCCGTTAGTTAGACCTAATAGCGCTTCAGAAGCCCTAGATGACTCCGAAAAAGCCGAATGCCTTGCGGACAACCTAGAGCAGCAATGTACACCATCGCGCGAACACACCGATTCGGTCCACCTAACGGAGGTGGACCGCTTAATCGAGACTAGGGCTGCGCTTCCACCGGAAGGCGAACCTATAAATTCAGTGACCCCCGAAGAGGTCCAAGATATAATTAAAAATTTAAAACCAAAATCCGCGCCGGGCCCAGATAATATAAGTAATAAGATTCTCAAAGCTCTCCCTGGGCCGCTTATCTGTTTACTGGCGACAATTTTCAATACGCTTCTCTCCAGTTGCTCCTTTCCGGACGACTGGAAGCAAGCCACGGTTGTCGGCATTCGCAAGCTGAATAAACCAGCCAATAAGCCCTCTAGCTATCGTCCCATCAGCCTCCTCATTTGTCTGGGGAAGGTCTACGAGCGGCTATTGTTAAACAGGCTCAAAGAGCACGTATTTTCCAACGGCCTTCTGCCGACGGAACAATTCGGCTTTCGAGCTAGACACTCTTGTCCCGATCAGTTACACCGCTTAACGGAGCACATCCTAAAAGGCCTTTACCACCCCAAACACATCAGTACAGGGGCTCTCTTCTTCGATGTCGCAAAAGCATTCGACAAAGTCTGGCACAACGGCTTGCTTTACAAGCTGTACACACTCAAAGTGCCAGACAGGCTCGTACACACCATCCGGGCCTTTTTGTTGAACCGCTCTTTTCGATATCGAGTCGAGGGCACCCTCTCCACAAGCCGCCGCCTCACGGCCGGCGTACTACAAGGCTCCTGCCTCTCACCCTTGCTATTTACGCTCTACACGAATCTCACACGTCAATCTCGCGCTTTTCGCGGATGACACGGCGCTCTTTTACTCAGATCGCAACCTCAGTCAATTAACAACTCGACTCCAAAGCACCGCCAACCGCCTCGGCTATTGGTTCCGCAAATGGAGAATCGATATTAATCCAGAAAAAAGTGTGGCGATTCACTTCACTCGTAGCACCCCCAACCCCCATCCGCCACACCGTTACAAAGGTCCTTGCCAGTACAGAAAGTTGGGGCAAATATCACTATATGGCCAAACTCTCCCCTGGGAGAAAACGGTCAAATATTTAGGAGTCACTTTCGACTCGCGTATGACTTTCACTACGCACATCAATCAAGTCCGAAATAAAGCCGCGTTCGTCTCCGGCCGGCTACACAATTTAACGAATAAGCATAGTAAAATGCCCTTAAGGCACAAACTACTGTTATATAAAGCTTGCGTAAGGCCAATCATGTCCTACGGCCAATCATGTCGCACAGCGATTGCAGACTCCCGACGATTCGCGCACATTTTAAAGATTTGACAAAACGGTTCTTCGATAGAGCCCAGCATCATCCCAACCCTCTGGTGGTAAGCGCAGCAAACTACCAACCGGACACAAACGCGAACGTAAACAAACGTCGCCCGCGAAACGTCCTCATCGACCCGGTCGACGAAGAGGACTTAGATACGATGGACCCACCGCCGGGGGTCCCGCCGGATAACACTACACCCACAGTTACCACAGTTAGTGTAACAACAATCACACCAGTTCGCCCTCGCCTCCGAGCACGGCGAGACCCACACAACGCGTACACAAGGTACACCCGCGTTCCGGGGCGGTTCTCACCGCTCCCAGCCACCGATTAGCTAAATGCACAGTCGACGGCCGTCGGGGTCTCGGTCCGAACCGGCGACCTCGACGGCCCTTAGATGACACACCATAGTTAAACGCACGCATGAGCACATGCGCAACCCTACCCATAGCGGAGGGTCCAAACCCGTGGGTTCTGGCCAGCCCACCGGTTCTGCGTCCGATGAAGCTTTAATAGTCTCGGGACTGAAAGCAAAAACATCAGTAAAAAAAAAGAAAAAAAAAGAAATAAATGCAGGTACTAAGAGCATTATACATAAGAGATTTGTGCCTTCTATTTTTTTTTTATTTGGAACAAATCATTCGATCAAACATTTATTTATATCTTACCAATAATACAGAAAACTGGCGGTAGGTTAGCTTTATTATGACATCTGGGCATTAAATTGTAGTGTTTTACCCAGCTTTGAAATCTATCACCACGTTATGGATAGATATTCCGAACTACGACTATTAATTCGTCGAAGTTAAGACCTTAGGAGCAAATAACAAGAGATAATTTGTGGATCTGATTGAGCTGAAAGTAATTACAACTCAAGGGAAGACGATAGGGAAGACTCTCAAACGATGCTTCAAGCTAAGTTTTATTCACGAACAATTTAGTAGTGATTAGCATTTCATAAAACCACTTATATGAGTGCTAATTTAATTTCTTATTAGCAAAACTGTCTGTCTGACAAATATCACACAGGTTGAAATAGTTTATTTGAGATTAGAATATTACAATATATTAATAAATATATATTAATATACATATTATTAAATAATATAAAGAACAGAATAAACAGTATTACACATCGATAAAGAAATAAAGTTCCAAACAAAAGTTTGATATTAAAACGTTTCAATTTATTGATGACTCAATGGCGCAGTTGCACAGGTATTGGCTTCGGCGTCGAGGGTCGTGAGTTGGATTTCCACACGAGAAAACTATTTGTTACCGAACCACATATAGTTTATTCGCATCTGGGTGTTTGTCACGTGGACAAACTACAACACAGGATAATAGTATACTAATGTTTTTGAATAAAACTTAAAAGTCACCGATAAAAAGTGTTTGTTAATATTTGAGTAGTGGGTTCAGTATCAATTATATGAGAGTGTAGATAACGTTAAGGTGTGAACAATTTCAATGGTCAACGGGGACTACCGTATAGGTTTTCAACCTGCAAACCTGTATGGTACTTCCGGTTAAGCTAGAACTGCCAATTTTGTTCAAAAGTTATCTTACATTACAAGTAAAGGAAAAATTCCGAAAAATATAAAAGTTGAAGAACAAGTTTTCTATTAAATGAAATAATTTTCTCACTAAATTAGCCCATTTCTTTTTATGGTGTTGACCCAGGACTTTGATTTTTATACACCTATTAGAGACTATATAAGGCAATATCTGGTATAAATTGTTACTTGCTAAGTCCACACCGTCCTAAGAAAATCGGTGATGGCACACGGCCAGAGAGACGGACAAGAGATTGATCTTATAATGATTCTTTTTTTACCTTTTAAGATACGGAACCCTAAAAATGTGAAAAAGTTAAATAAAACTAATTAACGCATTTTTTCGCTTTTAATTTTATAACCTAGAAACCTACATTAAAACAGGTTAAATATTAGGCCATGTAAAAAATTCCACTTAACATTAGATAGTGTTCAAGATAGAATTTGTTAGTCTTGGATAAAAACAGCACCATCTTATTTACCATAATAATAGTTGATATAAACACGTGGAGGAACACCTTTAGCCTATGCAAGACGGTTTACCTTGTTGCAGAGATTGTAAAACATCGAATACAATATATCAAAATGTTCACGATGGTTAACAATTTTCCAGCGTGTGCTGGCTCTGTTCCAAATCAAGTCACTTGAGTGTTCGCTAAAGTGGTGTAAGCTATTTTTTATTCGAAAATACATAAATTAGTTTCATTTGCTAACAGGTACGAAGAAATATTTTATTATTTAGTTATTAGAATCGATTTAGTCAACTTATACACTTTTTAGGGTTCTATAGCAAAAGCGTAAAACAGGACCCTATTCATAAGACTCCGCTGTCTGTCTGTCACCGGGCTGAACCGTGATAGTTAGACAGTTGAAATTTTCACAGATCATGTATTTTTGTAGCCACTATAACAAAAAATACTAAAAACATATTAAAAACTAGCTGTGCCGGCGATTTCGTCCGCGTGGAATTTAAAATGAAAAAAATCTAAAATAAAAGTAGCCTAAGTTACTTCTTACTACATCAGCTATCTGTCAGTGAAAGTCCCGTCCAAATTGATCCCGCCGTTCCAGAGATTAGCCGGAAAGACAAAAAATGTAAAAATGTTATTTTGGTATATGTACCGCGTATGCGTATCCATATACGCGTTAAGTTAAAAGCGGTTATTTTAATATTACAAACATACACTCCAATTTTATTTATCTGTATAGATATGTAAGTGAGGTACCGGTACAACAGACATGATTCTTTTGCTGTTTTTATAGATAAAAAAAAATAACGCGGGTTCGAGTTGCACTTAGACTCACAACGGTTTTAAAGGTTGGTAACGAATTTGGAATCCGTCAAGGGTACTAGATGTCCACTAATATCATATTGACTTAATATAAGGTGCATGGACTTCTCGCTTTCTAACATTTCATATCAAAAAGTAGATCAAATGGTCCTCTACATATGGTCAAACAATTCTAGTCCTTACTTTGTTTAGTAGTTGTAGTCCTTAGTTTCGAATTATATGAAAAAAAAAAAAAAAAAAAAAAAAAAAAAACAACAACCTATCTATAACTGAACTTAATATTTCCAAGCCTGTGGTATGCGTATCAAAACGAATCGTGTATAGTTGAAGCATGAGGAACTTCAATGCAACAGCTTCTGTAGAGGATGCGCGAATTGGCGGGGTTCATCGGAGTAATACGATAGTCTCCATTGGTAGTTTTATACTTTTCCCTGTGTTAGTGAGCAATAACCAGAGCCACTCTTTTAATACTTAGTAACGCAACTGCAACCGAAAAAATATAGTAGTATTCAATAAACATCAGAATCCCCACTTGACCCCATCTCACATAAAAAACAAGAATGAAAACTGTTACTAAAGTAAAAGAACAAGCATGAAAACGAGAATGAGTATATAGCAGAATAATAAACACAATAGAAAACATAATAAACTTATATGCACTGGTCGACTTCATGAATTTTTCAAAAGGCACACCAATGTGATACATGATCTGGCAAGTCTCGATTCTAATAGAGTTAATGTGTTTGGATGTAGTTTATTCGTTGACGTGGTGTATGAATATTTCATGGACGCACAACGTTATGTGCCACAGTTGTGTGGGCTATTCACTGGTGACGTCTCAACAGATTTAGGTAGGAATAATGTTAAACTAAACCGTTGCCTTTTTTGGCCATTTGCATGTATTAGTCTTGTCGGATTGTGTTTGACGCAAAACAATTGGATATCCGTCTCGGTAGTGGTCATTTAACCGGACAAAAGTTAGCCTATCACCAGATATGAAAAGAAAATTCTTCAAGTTACGCAGGGATTTGTGCCCGCGACGAAATAGAATGCTGCATCTCATCAAAATTTCGAACATTTTTAATACCGTGAACATTTTGAGACCACGGCAGGGTAAATAAACTGGTAGGAAATTCGTTTCCAACAGCACTAACGCATCTGAGTGCATTTCCACGGACTTCGCAGAGTGAAACATGAATCTTTCATACTGCAATTTTGCGGCTCTACCCACCGATATACGAGTATAGTACTGAAGACATCATACGATTTTTCCTGCTATTTAAACATTTTAATATACATATCGTTAAGACGGCATTGTTGCGAAAAGATAATTGTTTTAGGCGTAAATGTTACATGCTATATAGAATTTATTAAGATATTGAATCTTAAGTGCAAGTTCTCTGCTTCGAGCTGGATATAATTATTCTTACGGATTTCTGCCGAGCAACAGCACAGGCAACTCATCAGGGATGATCAGTAATTTATATCTGATACTTCCTTTTTGGACAGTTAATTAGGCGCATTTAAATATTTATAAAAATATTTAGGACAGATTTGTACACAACATTTTCTAGTCCCAACTAAGCAAAGGGTGCTATGGGTACTAGAAAACTAATAAACATACTTAAACATACTTTTCTTTTGTAAATAAATACATATTATATATATATATATATAGAAACACCCAGACACGAGAAAAACACCATGGTCATCACACAATATTTTTCCAGTAGTGGGGATCAAACCCACACCCTCTGGAGCAGGAGGCAGGTACACTACCCACTACGCCATTCGGGTTGAATAAAAGTAGATGAATGTAGAATTCGGTACTTGAATAAAAAGAGGTTACCCATTTGATTGCATCGAAAACTTTGGGAAAAAATCCCCAGCAGACAAAGCTAAATTGATGGGTTACTTTTTCACAGTTAGATAACGAATGCTTAACTTCTGAAGGTGACTCTGTCACTTAAGATTCTCTCCGTGTTGGTAAAGAATTTACCATATATCTATAATATTTCGCCTTTCTGTTTATATTGCAAACTGGAAATTTCATTAATATTCTATATTCAGTGTGCATGCCAGTGGAATCGCGCATCTAACCGAAACGAGTCGTCGTTGGAAGCGATTTGCTTGGGATTAATCGCATCTAGACCAGTCTAAAATCGCTACCATAAAGCTGTTCAAACGGCTGTATTGAAATCGCCCGACTAAATTGTTATAATAAACAACGTCAGGCAACGTTGTGTGTGAGGGGAGGGAGGGCGTTAAAAGCTCATTCTGCTCCGGCGGTACGTCGACGCCGGCAAATTTATGCAACCACTCGTGGGGCTCCGGCGAGCGTGCGGCAAATTACTGCCTTGCGTACACTCAACTTTATAGAAAATAAGAAACTTTACGGTCTGCTAAACGCAATGCATAAAACATATTTCTTTATTCAGCGCACTGTAAATGTGGATGCAAAAATGTGGCAATAATAGTTCAGTTGCTTAATAATAAATAAATACTAGATGTAAAGTTTTTATTACGTTCTCAATAATTGAGTCAGTCACGGACGTCAGCTCCGGTACGCGTTTTTTGTTAGAGACAAAATATGTCTCTATTTTTAACCGACTACAATAAAGGAGGAGGATCTATGTTCGACTATGTATTTTTTTTTGTATGTTCACCGATTTCCCCCCCCCCCCCCCATTTGTGAACCGATTCATCTTTATATATATCCGATCATAATTACTATTTTTTATTGGAAAGAGTATGCTCTTGAGGTGGTCCCATTGGCTACAAGTAGGGTTTGATAATGGAATCCCAAGGAAATCGAGGGCTTCCCTAAAATGTTGTAGGTATTAATAATGTTTTTCATTAATTTTATATCGAGGTATATGAGATATAATTTTGGTATATCGAGGCGTATCTTTCCGTCATACTTTTCCGACCAGCGTGCGACATGGCCATACATCTCAGGCGCCCCTCTCAGAGCTTATCCGCTGCGTCACGGACCCTGAGATTGCCTCAAATGAATGCGTTACGTATGCGGTCAGCCCTCTTGATGCCATGCATTCATCTCAGCATCTTCATCTCTGTGACGTGAAACTCTTGAGTGTGCCGAGATAGAGCTGGACAGCACTCGCTACCATACAGAAGTACCGGTCGTATGATGATCTTGAACACCTGCCCCTTGACCTTGGGCGATTTTCTCCAGTCGCAGACCACACCTGTGACCATTCGCTTAGCCCAAGAAGCGTATACCCGTGCTTGGACGTCATGCACGATGCTTCCGGACTCGCGGAAAACAGATCCAAGGTACCTAAACGACTCCGACTCAACGCCTGTATCGGTCTCCTTAGTGATTCGCTTTAGGAATTTAATGAGATATGCTGATATTTTAACTACTTAGTCTTTGTGTGTACTAAAAGGATTTTTTCTATCTATGAGAACTCCAAGATCTCTTATTTCTTTAACTATACAGTCCACATAACTTATAAACTTCAATTTTCCTAGATTTGATATTGAATTACGTTTAGATGTCTTATTCATGTTTCTTTTAAATTGGGACAATAAGTTGAAGATAAAAAAAAATCCTCAAAATTATAAAAATAAAAAAATAAATGGATTTATTGTGTTTCTGCAATTGTCCTTTCATTAATCTGCGGAATGGCTTAAATCATTCAACAGCCAACATGTAACATATTATGGAATCGATGTCAATATCTGGTTAATTTATTAAAAGGTTAATTCAGTTATGAAGTTACTAGTAAATTGTTATAAGTGCAGACGTCTTCGGTTTTACAGTTCATTAAGATCAAAGATTCCGTCCGCCTTTGAACAATGTACTTTTGAAGTTTGTAATTTACATATTAAAGATTCCATATCGTATATTATATAAACACCAGCATAATAAGTGGAGCAAAAAGGCGTATATAATATATTAACCTTTATATTTAATGAAGTAGTACTTGGATGTTAAGTAACAATTAAAGTATGATCTTAGTCTTAGTTTATAGTCTCAGACCAATAAAAAGTTATAGCAAAAGGCTTTTTATTTTTCTGAGCTATATGTATAAGAAGCTATAAGTTATATGAAAAATATCGTAATTAAAAAAGTCTTTGCTGTAAAGGATGCCCATTAGTTATCGTAAAATATTGCTAAGAGTGCAATAGAACAAACGGAAATAACGTAAGAATAAACATAAACTTGTAATATTATGTCAAGATTATCGCGCAGTGAGGTCATCGGCCGCTTAGCTTAGTTGGTAAAGCGTTTAGGCGCGAAACCGGAAGACGTAGGTTTGAATCCCGCAGTGCCGATGGTTATCGTTCATTTTTCTACAAAAAAAAAAAAGAAAATGGTTACAAATACTCATCCTTAAATGTTATTTTTAAGCTATTGTATGCTGTAAATGATGCACACTAGTTGCCGCTAGGATCTGCCAAAATGCAATAGAACGAACGTAGATAGATATATAGTCTTTTTTTTTCATTATTTGTTTATTTCGCACTAATCTTGTTTATCGGCGGACTTAATGCCCGAGGCATCTGTACCAGTATTTTAGAAACACGTAGGGTATCGGGTGGAAATTGAAGTAGAATAAATTACACCGGCACGTGACGCGGGTCAGGCGTTCAGCGAAATGTTGTTATTTTATCACGTAACGATAATAATATACATTAATCTGTCGTAGGTAAAGACAATTGTTACCCACTCGATAATTTTTAAAATATAATTGACAATTGAAAAAGTAATAAAATAAATGCGTCATTTTGTAGGATCACCAAATGGCCTAGGCTTAGGTAAGAATAACGAGCAAGAATGAATTCATGGTTTTCGTATTTCTTAAATAAGGGTAGGTCATATCCGTGTATCCGTGTCACATTTGTGACCAGTATACAGCAACAACAAGATCGCAGGGACGCGTTGGATGCAGGCCGCTAACGACCGGTCGAAGTGGAAGTTAATGGGGGAGGCCTATGTTCAGCAGTGGACGTCCTACGGCTGATATGATGATGATGATGATACAGCAACTTGTACACAGTACACCATTGTACTTGTTCACAATCGATGAGTTCATTCAAAGGTGAATAGTACTCATTTTTCTTTCTTTACTGGGTAAGTAATCAATAAGAGTCACGATTCTCAGCAGTGAGAGAACGACTAAGAAGAAGAAGAAGAAGATCAATGCCGACCATATACTTTCCATATAACAGCGGTTCTGCAGTCAAAATCCTCAGCCATTTTTGTTCAGTACCGCAAGCGGCCTTATATCTCCTATCTTACGGTTACTATTTTTTTCTCCACATGACATATAGGAAATACACGCCAAAGAAGTTAAGTAAGGTGCACTGATTTATAAAAAAACTTTGTTTGCTCTATTGATGTTATAAAACTGTGAATTTGATACAAGCTATAATGCTTAAAGTCACGAATGAAGTAATGATTGGGACGACAGGTTTGTGATCGGAAGAACATGGGTTCGAATAACTTAAACCGTAAATAGTGTTTATGTTTGTGCTCGTGTATTCATGTAATGCAATACAAATCACATTAAAATTTTTCTACTACTGTTAATTTATTTGGAAACTCATGTTTAAAACGAGTCAGACATACACTACGTTTGTAAACATAAAGTTATCGGCATTCACACATGAATGAGGCTTTTTTCTTACATATCAATAATAGAATCCGACTTACAGATTTCTATAACGAATATTTTAAATATAAGACAGTTTTTGAAAATCAAATAAAACACACAAGCGAACAAAATTACCAAAAGGTCAATTAAACTGAAGAAGAAAGAAGTTGGTTCAAAATTTCATGCAAATGGAGCGAAGAAAACTCATTAAAAACGTTTAAAGTTTTGATATTTCAACTAGCAAAGACAGTACTGGCGAGGGTCAGCTAATCTCCAACACTTCATTAACTGAGAAGCGGAGAAGCTCAACTTTGAGTAGTTTTATTACTTCAGATTAAAAACTGACTTAAAGATTTTCACGCTATCATTTTCACATGAAGCTCGTAAACCATAACATCTAAATCAATACGATATTAATTGGTTGATTCGAGGAAGACTTTATTAAATCTCAATGTTCTTGTTGCTTAGGTTAAAAAGCTATTTATTTATTTTAAAATCAATGAACCATGGGATAGTCTGAACTGGTTCTCTTTCTTTTTTTTACGTGAGGTAATCCTGCATAGGATCTGTTTACCAAGAGAGAGTAGACAGGTTATGTTTAATTCCTACCGACTAAAACCCCACAGGGGGCACGGGATCTCCTAAAGGAACGCAACCGCGGCCCCTCTGACTTACTAAGTAGCCCAGGCCCGGGGATATACTCGCTACCCCAAGTACGTGCGCGAAGATGAGGATCTTGGTCGCCTGCCCCAAGAATCCGTTCAGTCAACGGAGCTATTCTTGGGTGCCATGGCTGGGGGCACCAGCTCCCTGCCGACGTCTCCGGCGGGTGGGATCACTTCTTTCGCGATCATGTTCAGCAGCCTCCTTTTGGACAATAACAGTCTGAACTGGTGGTTCCCCTTCCTGTTCCATTTAGCTTACGTAGTCCTAAGCCGTGCCAGATCGAGATAAAGGCAACTCATTGGGATACTCCACGCAAACACGAACCCGCTGAGTTAAGATTGAAAGTCTGACGTCCCAGCCACAAGTCTTTTATAGATGCTCATAAATTAAACACACAAGCGAACAAAATTACCAAAAGGTCAATTAAACTGAAGAAGAAAGAAGTTGGTTCAAAATTTCATGCAAATGGAGCGAAGAAAACTCATTAAAAACGTTTAAAGTTTTGATATTTCAACTAGCAAAGACAGTACTGGCGAGGGTCAGGTAATCTCCAACACTTCATTAACTGAGAAGCGGAGAAGCTCAACTTTGAGTAGTTTTATTACTTCGGATTAAAAACTGACTTAAAGATTTTCACGCTATCATTTTCACACGAAGCTCGTAAACCATAACAATACGATATTAATTGGTTGATTCGCGGAAGACTTTATTAAATCTCAATGTTCTTGTTGCTTCGGTTAAAAAGCTATTTATTTATTTTAAAATCAATGAACCATGGGATAGTCTGAACTGGTTCTCTTTCTTTTTTTTACGTGAGGTAATCCTGCATAGGATCTGTTTACCAAGAGAGAGTAGACAGGTTATGTTTAATTCCTACCGACTAAAACCCCACAGGGGGCACGGGATCTCCTAAAGGAACGCAACCGCGGCCCCTCTGACTTACTAAGTAGCCCAGGCCCGGGGATATACTCGCTACCCCAAGTACGTGCGCGAAGATGAGGATCTCGGTCGCCTGCCCCAAGAATCCGTTCAGTCAACGGAGCTATTCTTGGGTGCCATGGCTGGGGGCACCAGCTCCCTGCCGACGTCTCCGGCGGGTGGGATCACTTCTTTCGCGATCATGTTCAGCAGCCTCCTTTTGGACAATAACAGTCTGAACTGGTGGTTCCCCTTCCTGTTCCATTTAGCTTACGTAGTCCTAAGCCGTGCCAGATCGAGATAAAGGCAACTCATTGGGATACTCCACGCAAACACGAACCCGCTGACTTAAGATTGAAAGTCTGACGTCCCAGCCACAAGTCTTTTATAGATGCTCATAAATTAATCGCAAGAAAAATGTTGACGCAATAAAGCTACAGCTTGTTGCGCAATGATGCAGTTGAGCAATGAGTCTGGCAACAGTGTGTCTCACACATATTTTTACATTAGACACGATAATTCAATTTGGCTCTCAGAAACACGTGGAGGGATATTTAAAATTCGAACAACGTTTTTAATTAAATTAAAAATATTTTTTCAAAAATAGTAATAATCAGCTAGGGCCTCATAAATATCTTTTTTTTTTGCAAAAATATCTGAGTGGCCTGGTACATTTACATTACTCGTACTTACTTACATTACATTTTGGAATCTTTTCACATATAAGTGTATATACGAGTAGAATAATGTTATATGTAGATTTCGAGCGATTAGAAGCCGTGATAGCTTGGTGTCCGGTTGCTCGCCTTTAATTAATTTTAATTTAATTGTGTTTAATCGCCGGTGCCAGCACCATTGAAATTTTTAATTTTAAGTGCTGACTCGTGCTCAGCGGTGAAGGAAAACATCGTGAGGAAACCTGTATATTTTCAATATAATAACAAAAAAAACATTTCGAATATCTTTGAAGGCCACCAATCCGCAGTTGGACCGCGTGTTGGACTATGCCCTGATACCCTCTGTGAGGCTTTTTACCAGCTGTGGGGTATATAAGCTGTTACTTTAATTTGCTTTTCTTATATGTAGATTTCACAATTTATGACAATGCCATCGATAAACAAGTTCTTTAAATTTAAGACATTGAAGCAAACGAAAGTTATACTTCAATAGATCAAATAAGATATATTTTGTGTAATTATATTATTTTGATATTAACACATTTTTATATTACTATTCGGTTACTGACCACAGTACTGTGCGATAATCGAACGGACAACTTTTACAAGTTAAAGTTAAGTTTCCGAGAAGTAACTTTGAAGATATTATAACATGAAACAATTACTGTTCCTCAGAGGTAAACAGTATTATGTGACAAAACACAAATTTTATAGGAGAGGCAAAAATGTATGAGCGAATCCTTGTATGCACAATTGATTATGATACCTTATACGATTGGATATTTTATTTATTAGGCGACGCAGGACTTAATGCTTTATATTATTGTGTAGAATTTGTTCTAGCGATTTAAATGGTGTAAGTAAAATAATTTTGATCAATAATTATCCCTATGAGGTACAAGATTGTTTACAGTAAAAAATGTTTACCGCATTCTATTCTTAAACTATTGATCAAATGAAGATTCTCCTTTTGAAATATGTCATATTAAAAATATAATATTTAACCCTGGTTGCCAAGTGGATCAGTGTTACCAACTGTTCAACTGTCCAAAAGTGTTCAAAATAAAAAGTCCTAAAGCAATTCAAAAATCCCACTAAAGTCTATTGAAAATCACTAAATTCAAACCAAATGAGAAACATTTCTGGAGTTTTGCTATGACTTTACATCCTTAAAAACTTGCATTGTAGTTTTTGTAATTTTTCTAATTGTAATTGTAATTTTTCTTTCAAAAATTTAGAGAAAAAAATTCTAAGTTGGCACCCGCGCAGTGTAGTCAAAATAGATTATGAATTTCGGTCATCCCGTAGTGAGTTCCACCACACGCTAGGTGCACGCTACATTTCCTTCGCCACAATAGGCATTTGACCGGAGTATGCGACACATACACAGACACGTACACGTAAATCGTTCGCACATTTTGTGGTGTATACTAGAAATGCTAACATAATTACTAGCTCTCTTCTCACTTAGTCTAGGTTTTAAAACTTTCAGAAATTTTGTTATGAAGGGAGGCCACGGACCTTTTTCACGTCAGAGGGTGGCAAGCGAGCTGGCGGTTCACCTGATGTTAAGCGATAACCGCTAAGGAAATTTGCAACGCCCTTATGTTGCAGATGCATTGCCACCTTTTAAAGTGTTGCCTCACTCACCAGACGAAACGTAGAAGTGTGAACTGGAGGAACACTTTCACTTTGCGCCGGTATTCTGTAACGTCAGACCTGGCCATTGGTGCAACAGCCGAAGCTGTTGCATGGCCCACCTCAGTAAAACCTAAGGTTTCAACAGCATATGGCACAAATATTATTTATTATACACAAATTTTGACTTTGTCTTTGATTATTCTCAAAAGATCTACATACTCGTATATTGCAATAGTATATTTGCACGCATCCTTTATAAAAATTCTTAGATAGGTAAATATTTTAAGAATTTACGACATATACGACTATAAAAGAGAAATAACAAAGTTAGATAAGGAACTTGGCAACTTATTTATTGGATTCTTGAAAACAGTATCGTAAGCGCAGATAACAAGTCTGGAGTAGTAATAAAGGTGTCGTCGATATGAAATAACTTTCCTTTAAGGGAAAAATTTTCAATTTTAATATTATTTTGAACGATTTAGTTAATATGAAGGACCGCTATGTGAAAATTTTGTAAAATATGCTTTGAGAGCGTGAAGTAAAGGCAAAGTATCAGCCTATACAGGTCTCACTCCTGAATAAATGTATTTTCTGTACAGAGGGTATCGGGGCATAGTCCACCAAGCGGCCCTACTGCGGATTAGCGGACTTCACATATTATTTTCGATATATTTTTTTTTATCATTTCAAAAATATGCAGGTTTCCTCACGATGTTTTAATTCACCACTCGGCACGTGATAAGCCAGCGCTTAAAATTAACAATTTCATTTTTCCGGCACCGGCCATTGAACTCAGGTTGGCCGAGCATATTAAATTAAAAGCCTGCGCTCGGATAACGACACGTGGTTAAACGAAACTATTGTACACATTTTTTCGTGTTTTATTTTATTTTTGTCGCGTTATATAAGCACCGCTGATTTTATCAAAGTAACAGCTGTTGTCAAGTTAGACGTTTTAATAGCTTGAGACAGTTTGGACCACGAAGAGATATTCGGCTCCCGGCCAAACGCCTTATTTGACTAGTAACCGCATCCTTCGTGCAAGTTAAATATTTTAAGCAAGCATATAGAATGATAGTGGTCACCACCTGTTTGTAATGGTCCAGTGAGTACAAGAGTCGTCGAATGCTAAATACGGACGTACGATCGCTAAAGTTTTGTTATTTCATTTTTTATATACTCTAGTTTCTGTTATTATTATTTTTACAAATAAATGAATTTTTTACGTGTTCCCAGTGCTTAATTTACGTTTTATTTCTTTATATGGGAAAGTGGAAAACGAGCTGGCAGTTCACCTTGTGTTAAGTGATAACCGCCGCCCATTGACATGTGTAGCACCCGTAGGGTTGCCTTACCAACTTTAATCAAGTGGGCCTCGGCTACCTCAATCACCGGATGAAACGCAGAAGTCCTCACAGACGAGTTGGTCTTTTGTGAGGTCGTGGTCTCCCCAGACGAAACGCAGAAGTATAGTACTTCCACTTCAAGTCGGTCTCCTGTGAGGTCGTGGTACTTACCCGGACGGACCTGTCCATTCGTGTAATATCACGTAATGTGAATTTTTGTTGATTATAAGTAGACATGGATTTTTACATAATAGTGTTGGCAACATTAAAAGAAGTCGTTCCTTGAGGTTGTTGGCAACACTAACTAAAAGAAGTGTCATTCTATGAGGTATAAATGAAGCTGCATGAAGCATTTCATGGTCTTTCTCTGGCTGTCAACAAGAAGTATACGCGATAGTGCTGCCCAATCGGTATCACAAATGAAATCGTTAGAGTGGTGTTTCATTAGTGATATTAAAGTGATAAAATAAGTAATTATACCTGTGTTATTGTTGTGCAAAGTGAAATTACGGTGATTTGGTAAAATTATTTATATTTCTACCTTCTTAGCTAGATAAAACAAAAGATAGCTAACAATAGATATTTTTACATAAGCATGTTTTACTTTACACCTACTCATTAGAATGAAAGTAACAAGGGGAACATTTGGTTAAATGTCAGTAGATTTTGCGGTCATCTTTTTTATACCCAACATATTTTGGGGTAAATTTTATATACCTTCCCATTTTATTGTTATTCAAATTTGAAGATTCTTTTGTGTGGGTGTCATTTTGTTGTCTAATTTTTACGCTCATTTGTAATTGGGGTAATTTAATATACCTCAAACCAGCCAATGTTCTAAACATGATTCGAATTTTTTATATTAAAGTTAAAAGTTTATAAAGAAGATAAACAACGATAGACCTACATATTTCTTGTCGCAGATGCGGCAGACAAGAGCCTTTAGAGAGATTTATTGGAGTAAAAGTTATTCGCTAGCATTTTATTAATCCGTAAATGTCACTAAAAATAAATATAGATAAACGAAGGAGGCCATACTTTAACTTAACTTGCTTTTTATTATTCGAATGTTTAATTTTTAACAGTTAGATTTAGAAATATTTAGGTTCTATCATTGAAGATTGTGACTTTGATACCAGTTACATTCAATCAAATCTATTACATTATATTGATTATTGAACACTTTATGTAAAAAAATCCTTACAGTAGGATGACACTACAATGTATTATAAATGTCAAATTCGAAGTCGAGGTTTATCTTTATGTAATTGCTATCAACTATTTTGGCTTGCATTAAGATACATTGGCATCCAAAGTGCTTATGGGGTGCTAAGCTTTCCTCCATGGAATCGAACACATAACCTAACGTTTTCAATTATTTCGAAATTACGGGCGCTTACCGGGTTCTCATATTTAACATTATTATTTTTTGTAAGTAGTAATGATCTTCACACCACAAGGTCGATAACCTTGTGGTGTAAAGGTCATTACTTAGCTTTGCTTAGCTTAGTTAGCTTTGTTGGCTTAAGCGAGTTACCCAAAGACGTAGATTCAAATCCTGCAGTTCAGCGATCCCGTATTAGATGGGTACTTTTGTCGTAGTTTCTTGTTTTCTCTTCTATTGCGTATCTATT